GCACTGCGGACAGGGACAGGGACAGGGACGTGTCAGGGCCACCGCGGGCTGCCCTCGGCGGTGTGCTGCAGGACAGGGCGGGCCGGCCCAGCACTGCGGACAGGGACAGGGACAGGGATGCGTCAGGGCCACCGCGGGCTGCCCTCGGCCGTGTGCTGCACGGACAGGGCGGGCCGGCCCAGCACTGCGGACAGGGACAGGGACAGGGACGTGTCAGGGCCACCGCGGGCTGCCCTCGGCCGTGTGCTGCAGGACAGGGCGGGCCGGCCCAGCACTGCGGACAGGGACAGGACAGGGACGCGTCAGGGCCACCGCGGGCTGCCCTCGGCGGTGTGCTGCACGGACAGGGCGGGCCGGCCCAGCACTGCGGACAGGGACAGGGACGCGTCAGGGCCACCGCGGGCTGCCCTCGGCGGTGTGCTGCAGGACAGGGCGGGCCGGCCCAGCACTGCGGACAGGGACAGGGACGTGGTCAGGGCCACTGCAGGCCCGGCTCGGGTGCCGCTGCAATTCTAATCGCTAATTTACTTTTGAGATGGGGTCTCGCTCTGCTGCCCCAGCCAGAGTGCCCTGACGTCACGGCTCACTGCAGCCTCCAACTCCTGGGCTCTAGTGATCCTCCTGCCTCAGCCTCCCAAGTAGCTGGGACTACAGGCACCCATCACCACGCCCAGCTATCTTTCTGTACAGATGGGGTCTTGCTATGTTGCCCAAGCTGGTCTTAAACTCCCAGCCCCAAGCAATCCTCCCGCCTCAGCCTCCCGAAGTGCCGGAACTACAGGTGTGCGCCACCACACCCAGCTAATTTGTCCTGTTTTTTGTAGAAAAGGGGTCTGGCTATGTTGTCCAGGCTGGTCTTGAACTCCTGAGCTCAAGCGATCCTTCCACCTTGGCCTCCCAAAGTGCCGAGACTACAGGTGTGAGCCGCCGCACCCAGCCTGGGGTTGCAATTTTTCAAAGTAGGTTTTGGAAGCCCTTGCTAGGAAGCAAAGCCTTGCAGGAGGCGAGAGGACGCTACCAGGGGTCTGGGGGACAGTGCTCCAGGCAGAGGCAACAGCCAGTGCAAAGGCCCTGGGGCGGGATGGCAGCCACACTCCGCAAATGAACGCAGACCTCGCCCCTGGGACTCGCCCGCCACCGTTAACGGCCTGTGACTGCTGTGAGCAGCCAGGCAGGGGGCAGGGAGATCACAGGCGGCTTCCCGGAGGAGGCGGCGCTGGCGATAGAGACCAGGCCAGCGCTGCGCACTCAGCCGCGTGGCAACGAGGGTCCCCGGGGAGGGCGGGTTGGGGGGGACCACGGGACCTTCCTGCTGTCCCTTCCACACGCCACACCCGTCCCCGTGCCGAGCTCAACTGTGGCGGAGGGGGGGGTCCCAGCCCCTTGTCACCCACAGGAGGGGCCAAAAGGGGAAACTGAGGCAGGGCTGCCGGGAGAGCTGTCTTCGCATGGCGCAGTGGGGGGAGACGGGAACGCCAGCCCGAAATAACAAGCTGCCGGGGTGATCGGAGCGGCCAGGGGGCGGGGGGGGGCGCTGCCGGGGCCCAGGGTGGGGGGCGCCACTCAGCCCAGACCGTGGGATGGGGCGGTCAGGGAAGGCTTCCCGGGGGAGGTGCGGCCGAGCAGAGGCCTGGAGGCGGCGGCAGGACGGCCGGCGGGGAAGGGTTGGGGGCGACGGGCGTGAGGGCGTCACGCTGCCTGCCAGCGTCCCCGCAGGCCCCCTGCACCCCTGCTCTGGCACGTGCCCCGCCCGGGGCACCGCCCCTCCCGGGCTCAAGACTGAGGACGCGGCGCGGCCCCAGGGCGGCTCATACCTGCCCCCTTGGTCACCACCACCTTGGGTTTGCTGCGAGCGCCGTCCCCTTTCATGGTGTAGGCGGCCACGGTGACGGAGTAGGCGGTCTCGGGCTGCAGGTCTGTGATGACCATCTCCTGCGGGCGGGGACCGGGCGGTCAGAGCCGCGCCAGGCTGGGCCCGGCCGCCCGCCCCACGCACGCCCACTCGAGCTCATGCAGAGACCACGGGATGCCACACGTGCATGCTCCGAGGGGCACATGCGGCCTGACTCCTCCTGCCACCGTCTGCCTGGACCAGCCGGTCCCCTCTGCCCTGGTGCCCCGCCCCCGCTGCCCCACAGGCTGTCTTCCCTGAAGCACCTGTGTGCGCCCTCTGCCCACAGCCCTCCATGGCTCCCGCCTCCCCTCAGTCAAAGCCCACGCCTTCTCTGTGTCCCCCAAGGCCTGGCGTGACCTTCCCTGTCCCCTCCTTGCCCCGATCTCCTCTCTCCCCCTCCCTCGCTCACTCTGCTGCAGCCTCATGGGCCTCCTAGCTGTGCCTCCAACTCGCCAGGTGCATCCTGCCCCAGGGCCTTTGCACGGCCCGCTCCCACTGCCTCTGCACCCAGTGGTGAGCTGGGGATGCCCTGTGCCGACTCCAGACAGCCAATGCTTACGTTCTTGGGAATTTTGTGAGCTGGTTATAACACACAGCTCTTCTTAAATCGTATAACCTTACAATCGGATAGATTGTATTAAAATAAAAGGCAGTAAATACTCAAAACCCACCCCTTCCTAGTTATTTTATTTTTTGAGACAGAGTCTTGCTCTGGCGCCCCAGCTGGAGTGCAGTGGCATCATCACAGCTCACTGAAGCCTCAAACTCCTGGGCTCGAGTGATCCTCCTCCTTCAGCCTCCTGAGAAGCTGGGACTACAGATGAGCCACCATGCCTGGCTAATTTTTTCTATCTCTTGTAGAGATGGGTCTTTTTTTTTCAAATTTATTTAATATTTTTATTTTATTTTTTGTGTGTGTGCGAGTCAGATTATGTAGAGATGGGTCTTGCTATGTTGTCCAGTCTGGTCTCGAACTCCTGGGCTCAAGTGATCCTCCCACCTCGGCCTCCCAGAGTGCTGGGATCACAGGCGAGAGCCACCGCGCCCGGCCAGCAGTTATTTTACTACATTCACTAACGTCTGTCCCCCCGAGGTCCCCTTGTCTGCTGTTATCTGTACCGTAGGGCGAGGACCTACCGCGCACCTCACAGGGAGCGCGGAAGGCACCTGGCGGGAGCATTTACGCCACGGGGATGGGCAGATGCTACGGCCCAGGCTCTCCCTCCGGCCCCGAGAGCTGATGTCTGACACCTACACCCCTGCGAACCCCGTCCCCACCACAGCTGTGGCCACACGTCTTCCTGTTTTGCTCTGGTCAACGTCCCTCTCCCCTACTGGACTCCGTCCCCTAGGGGGAGGGACTCGGGAGCCCTGGCCACTCCCGGTCCTCCCCAGCGCCTCGCACGCGGGCCAGCGTGTGGCCGGCAGCTTCCCGCCTGCGCACGCCCTCACGCACGCCCCGCGCGCGGCGCCTGCAAGCACGCACACACGCGACACGGTCCCGCATGCCTGGGAGCCGAGGGGTGGCCGGGTCAGGAGGATGGGTGGGGACAGGGCCGCACGAGCAGAGGGTCTCCTGCCCCTGAGCCGCGCACGCAGCCACCGCCCCGGGGTTGGCCGGCAGCGAGCAGAGGCCGGAGCCGGAGGCCAGGACAGGCCGTGGGGGACCAGTGCGACCCGGCGTCACACGGGCTCTCAGAGCGCCCGTGGCTCCCGCTTCAGGGGTAGGAAGAGAGCCCGGAGCGAGGCAGCGACTGGCCCGAAGTCACACAGAGATTCCCGGCTGCGGTCCAGGGCACTGGGGGTGGCACCCCGGTGTCACAGCCCCCCTCCCCGTCGGGGCGCACCGAACCCTCCGCAGCGTGGAGAGGCGCGTCTAGGCCCGGCAGGGAGGAGGGGGGCTGTGGGACCCGGAGTCCAGGGCCATGGAGGTGGGGCTAACCGAGCCCCAGGTCCCCTCCCGTGCGCTGGTGAGCTGGTCCGGGCGCCGGAGCCCGAGAGGGGACAGCGGGGCGCGGGGCGCGGGCGGGGCCCAGGGGAGGAGACCGTTCCGCGGAGGGGAGCGGGGTCACAGCACGGCACGGCACGGCCCGCGGAGGCGCGGCGAGGCCGGGGCTACTCACATACTCGGCCGTGTCATCCGTCTCCCACTGAGCGCGGGAGCAGGCGGCGGGGAGAGAGGACGCAGGTGAGCGGCGCCGGGGCGCGGGGAGCAGCGAGGGGGCGGAGCTTGCGGGGCCCCGCCCCCTCCCGGGCCCGCCCCGCCCCGCCCCGGCCCCGCCCACCTGGGCATCGGCCAGCATGACGTCCTTGATGCGGGGCGGCCCGCGGGCCTCGGCGCCCTCCATGCGCACGTAGTGGACCTGGTAGCCGCGGATCTGGCCGTGCTGCCGGCCGGGCGCGGGCGAGCGCCACAGCACGCGGATGGCCGTGGCGTTGAGCGCCTCCGCCTCCACCTTCCGCGGGGGCGCGCTGGGCACTGGCGGGCGGGAGGGCGGGGGACGTCACCGGGCGCGGCCTGCCCCGGCGGAGCGAGGCTCGCGCGCCCGGTCGTGGGGCCGGCCGGCGCGCCCGGAGCCCCAACCCCCGCCGGGGCCTGTGACCCGAGCGAGCGTCTGCACCACACCCACACTGCCCCCAACTCCTCCGCGTCATCCCTGCCAGAGACCGGCTCTTGGCATCCTCATCGCACATTTGGGGAAACTGAGGCCGGAGGGCTGATCCGGAGAGCACAGGGTTAGCAAGAGGCCAAGAGAGCCGCTCTGACCCAGGCCGTGCAGCTCCCAGCTCCGGAGGCGGGTGGCCCACTGGGCACTCGGGGTCTTTTCAGCTGCCCCCGGACGCCACCCACCCCAGGGCCTGGCAGTAAGCGCCGCTCCCTTCCCCCAGGTGCAGGGCACACGGGCGCTGTCCACTGGGCACACGGGCGCTGTCCACTGGGCAACGGCTCGGGAAGGCGCCCAGGCCCCCGGGACCGGGAAGGCAGTTGGCACTGCCCCCCGTGAACCAGCCTGCGGGGCGGGCCGGGACCGGCACTGTCGCCTCGCTTTCCCAGCTCGGGGCTTGCTAGCCTGACACGGGCCGTGGTGGGGGCGTCTACACCACAGGAACCGGCCGATGCTACGCGCCGGTCTCCACGGCCCGGGAGCTGGCTGGCCGGCGCGGGCACTCTGCCGGCCACCTCCCGTCCAGGTGGGACGGCGGCTCGGGCCGAGGACGCTCGGAGGCCTGGCTCGCCCGAGTCTGAAACTCAGGTCTCCCGGGGGCCAGGGCCAGGAGCCAGGGCCGCGCGGTGGCCGCGGGGGCTGCGAGCCGTGTCCCACCCCGGCGTCCGCGTGGACGGCAGCACAGCGCTGCCTGCAGCCTCCCGGGCTCCGGAGCGGCCGCCCGAGGCCGCGGCCGCCGTGGGAGCCGAGGAGCCCTCTGGCCACAGCCCGGTGCTCACCGTCTTCCTCGGTGCGGACGACCACGGGCGAGCTCTCGGGCCCCGGCCCCACCTCCGTGTGCGCGACGGCCGTGACGCGGTACTCCGTCCACTTCTCCAAGGCCTCCAGCAGGATCTGGGTGGCGGTCGGGGGGATGCCGTCCACCTCCTTGGGGGCCGGGTCCTCCGAGCCCAGCGGTCGGTAGCGCACGCTGTAGCCCACCAGGGGCCCGTTGCGAGTGTCCGGCGGCGGCGGGCGCCAACTTACCAAAATGGCCGTGGAGCGCACGCTGACACACTTAACGTCTTGAGGGGGGGCTGACGGTTCTACGGGGAGAGCGTGGGGGGGGCGGGCGGGGAGGGGGCGGGGAAACAAAAGATGGGAAAGAGAAAATAAAAAAGAAGATGATAACAAACAAAACAGAACCGAACCAAAGAGAGTCGAACCCAGAAGCAGCGGGTGTCAACCAAAGGTGAGATGGGCGGGTGGCATGGTGGCCGGGAGGGCTGGCCAAGAACGCTGCGCTCGCACACAGGCGCGCCTGCGCGGCGCACAGTAGGTCTTCGGCACAGGGCAGCCATGGTCGCCATGGAGCACACGATAAAGCCCTACCTACCGGCACCTACTACGTGCCAGGCACCGGGCCAAGAGAAAGAACAACTGAAGCCCGTTCATCAGGTACCTACTACGTGCCAGGCGTTTGCCAAGGGCTCACGTGGTAACAGTGAAGCATCCTTCATTGAGCACCTACTGTGTGCCAGGCACCATGCCAAAGGAAAGAGTAATTGAAGCCCATTCATTAGGTACCCACTATGTGCTAGGCATCTGCTAGGGCTTCACAGGATAGTAGTAAAGCTTCTCTTTATTGAGCACCTACTGTGTGCCAGGCACCATGCCAAGGGGAATAGCAATTGAAGCCCACTTATTAGGTACCTACTATGTGCCAGGCAACATGCCAAGAGACAGAGCAATTGAAGCCCATTTATTAGGTACCAACTATGTGCTAGGCCTTTGCCAAGGGCTCATGTGGTAACAGTAAAGCATCATTTATTGAGCACCTACTGTGTGCCAGGCACCATGCCAAAGGAAAGAGCAATTGAAGCCCATTCATTAGGTACCTACTATGTGCTAGGCATTTGCCAGGGCTTCACAGAATGACAGTAAAGCATCTGTGTATTGAACACCTACTATGTGCCAGGCACCATGCCAAGGGAATAGCAACAGGAGCTCCATTCATTAGGTACCTACTATGTGCCAGGCACTTGCCAAGGGCTTCACAGAATGACAGTAGGCATGTGTGTATCTGAACAACCACTATGTGCCAGGCACCGATTGCGCAAGGAATCGAGCAACTGGCAGCTCCATTGCATTAGGTACTCCTCTACTATGTGCCCAGGCAATTGCCAAGGCTTCCAGGAGATGACAGTACAAGCATCGTGTATTGAACACCTACTATGTGCCAGGCACCATGCCAAGGGAATAGCAACAGGAGCTCCATTCATTAGGTACCTACTATGTGCCAGGCACTTGCCAAGGGCTTCACAGAATGATAGTAAAGCACCTGTGTATTGAACACCTACTATGTGCCAGGCACCATGCCAAGGGGAATAGCAATAGGAGCTCCATTCATTAGGTACCTACTATGTGCCAGGCACTTGCCAAGGGCTTCACAGAATGACAGTAAAGCATCAGTGTATTGAACACCTACTATGTGCCAGGCACCATGCCAAGGGGAATAGCAGTAGGAGCTCCATTCATTAGGTACCTACTATGTGCCAGGCACTTGCCAAGGGAATAGGCAAAAGGTAGGCCCTGCCAATTCATTAGGTAAGCTACTAATGTGGCCCAGGCGCCCATGCTATACAGGGGATGATAGGCAGTTAGGAAGCTGCCATTGTTAGGTGCCTACTATGTGCCAGTACTGCACCACGGGCTTCACAAAATAATAGTAAAAGTATCTATTTGCTGAATATCCACTATGTGCCAGGTACCAAGCCAAAAAGAATAGCAACAAAAGCTGCATTTATCAGGTACCTACTACGTGCCAGGCATGTGAAGGGCTTTATACAGTAACAGTAAATGTGCTTATTTGCTGAACACCTACTGTGTGCCAGGCATGGCACCAAGGGCTTTATAACATGATAAAAATGTCATAAATTCTTTTTTATAGTAGAAACATCTATTTACAGAACACCTGTGCAACCAGGGACCCCAGAGACCACCCCAACAGCTTACTTCTATTAGGACCATCCTCTTGGCCTCACTTAAAGAGAAAATAATGCCCTTGTCTATAGCACCTACTGTGTGCCGGTTAGCATGCCAAGGGCTTTCTAGAGTAATAATAAAAGTGCCTGTTTATTGGATACCTACTGAGTTAGGTACCAGGCTCAGGACTTTACAACCCATATGGAGCACCTAGATCATCATTTTCCTGGTTTTAGTCCCTACTATGCACCTGGCTTCACACTACCCATAACAGATCAACAGCAAGTCGCATTTACTGCACACCTACTATGGACAGGGAATGGTAATAGCTCGCTAAAGAATAGCAGTTGTCATTTATGTAGCACCTACTGTGCATCAGGTACTGTGCTGGGGGCTTATTGAAAAACAGTTAACAGTTCCCACATAATAAGCACCTACTATGTGCTAGGCACTGTACTAAGGGCCTTGTAGAATGTTAATAGTTCTCATTTGTCAAGCACCTATTAGGTGCCAAGCACTGTGTTAAGGGCTTTATTGAATAACAATAATAGCCTCCCATATATTAAGCACATACTATGTGCCAGGCATTGTGCTAAAGACCTCACATAAAAACGGCAATAGTTCTTATTTATTGAGCATCTATTTGCACACATTGGGCAAGTGCTTTGCAGGTGATAATTGCATGTTTTAAGCAAAAACTGTATACCTAGCATCATTCTAGACCCTTTCAGACTGACAGTAGTGCCCGTATGAGCACCTACTGTGTGCCTAGCACCAGGCCAACATCTTTATATCAAGGCCGCTTATTGAGCACTTAATGTATGCCAGGCATCGTGCCAAGAGGTTTGAAGAACAATAATCCACGTTTTTGGTACCTACTGTGTGCCTGGCACCAGGTTAAGCTTCTTAGAAACTATTCACAGCTTCCATTTACTGAGTGACAACTATGTACTCAGCACTGTGCTAGTCTATATTTAGGTTTAAAAGAGCAGGTGCATTTATGGGGCACCGACTGTGTACCAGACAGCACGTGAAGGGCTCTGCAGAACAGCGGCAGTGCCCAGGGCATTACTAATAACTGTTAACTTCATGGTCTGCATGCCCACTGCAGGGCGCCGCCCCAGGGGGTTGGGCCTGTCACCCCCAGTCCCCATCGCAGGTGGGGACCCAGATTCAAAGCCTGCCTGCGTGGCGACTAGCACAGCCCCACCCTGGAAGCTCTGCATACACGACCTCTCTAAATCCGTCCCCAAATCCAGAGGCGGCCCCGCGTGACAGGTGAGGAAACTTAAGCCCGGAAACAGGAAGTGGCCCGCCCAAGGCTCTGAAGCCGGGATCGGAGCCCAGACTTCGCTGCTGCCCACGGGCTGTTGCATTTCAGCTCGAGGCTGGGAGTCCCGACCTCAGCCTGCGGCAGGGGGGACGGCTGGAGCCGCACTGCCCGGACTCCAGGGTCTGCCTCTTCTGGAGGGACCCAGAGAGACCACAGTCTCGCTCACTGGGAAAGCACGCCAAGCTGTCACCATCGCTCCAGCCTCGCGTGTTCCCCGAACACTCGTTTACTGAGTGCCTACTACGTGCACACCCTCGTGCTAGGGTCGGGGACCCAGAGAAGAATCAGATAGCCCTGTCCTCCAAGACGCTGAGCTACCAGGGCCCCCAGAGGCCACCCTAGCAGATAACTTCAACTAGAATGACTCTCCGGCCTCACTTACAGTGAAACACTGGAGACCCCTTTTCCTCCTCCTCCAAAAAAACTAGACGGGGGGGGGGGCTCCCATCTCCATTTCTTGACCAGCCACCCCCACCAAAAGTGCCTGGGGGAATCAGGCAGGAGCGGAAAAACCAACCAAGGAATGTGCCGGAAGGAATGGATTTGCTGAGAAAGGGGGAGGAAAAATAAAACCAAAACCATAATAAAATAAGAAGCGACGGTGATGGCGATGACGATGAGAAAAAACCATAATAAAAGAAAGAAAGACGCCTTTCCAGAAATCTCCCAGTCTGGTTACCTACCTTCCGCTCTTCAACCGCTAACTTATAAGACTTTCTTACGAGGGAGGGGCGGCGAGTGCTGCGCTCCCCGGCCAGACCGAGCTCTCGGTGGGTCTCCGGCGCCCGCGGCCCGCGGCCCTGCTTGGCCCCAGCGTGGGCACGCTGCGGTCCCGGGCTGGCGCGCCGGGGCGGGACGGTGTCTGGGGAGACCCACGGCCGAGCGGTCTGGCCTCCACCTACCCTTGTGTTCAGCCCAGGGAGCCCGCAGCCCGGGGACACGCCTGGCCCTGAGTCTCGGTGGGAAGCGGGGCCCTCTGCCCTCTGCCTGTCCTGGGCCGCCCCGAGGGGCGCGTGGCGGGCCGCAGCCGCTCTCTAGGTGGCCCTGGAGGCCGTGTCCTTCACAATCCGGCCCAACCTGCGTGACGTCTCGGGAGGGGGCCGCGTGGGCGTGGGCAGAAACAGGGACACGCGTGGCAGCGGCGTGTGGCTTGTCGGGGGCTGGGGGCCGAATTTGGGCTGCGGGCCGTCGTGAGCCCGGAGCGGTGGAGGGGCGGGCACGCAGGGTGGGCCGTCTTTGTGAGCCTGCTCGAGACCGGCGTGTACTCACCTTGGGCACCTCTGCCAGTCTCTGGGTGGCCGCCCACGCCACCGGCCACCCTCACTGACTCCACCTCACAGGCACGCCCGTGCCTCCTAGCGGCTGAGCGCTCCGGCGCTTGCTCGGGACGGGGAGGGAGGGGCGGGTGGCGGTGCGGGGGAGGGGTGGCAGTGGGGGGGGCCGTGTCTCCGAGGCCCGAGCCCACTCGTCTGACCTGAGGCGCCCCTGTGCACACACACCCGGGGGCTTGAAGATTTGGCTGCTTCCGGAACAAAGCCTGGGGCGGCTACGCCGTGACTGACTGGGGGAGGGGTGTGGGGGGGAGAAGCACGGAGGGCCACGGCAGCAGGGCCATGGCAGGAGGGCACGGCAGGAGGCCACGGCAGCAGGGCCATGGCAGGAGGGCACGGCAGCAGGGCCACGTGGGCGGAGGCCACGCCAGGCCGGCTGAGCAGGGGGGAGGGAGGTGGGCGAGGCAGGGAGGCAGCGGGAAGGGCCTGCCGGCCCCAAGCGGGGACAGGCACTGACGTGGCCGTGGCACCAGGGCCACATGTGGCCCAGAGCCAGCTGCCAGGTGGAGGGGACTTCTTGGTAACAGGGAGGCGGGCGGGCACAGCAAAGAACCCCAGGGACTTGAGCCCCGAATGGGGACGTGCCAGCCCCTCGAAACCTGGTGTCCCCCCGACTCCGCCCCTCCCCCGCCCTGGGCACCGGGCCTGGCCGTGGGCAGTCGGGGCTGAGGCCCTGCGGGGCGGTGGGTGTGAGCTGTGACGACAGCCGCACGGCCCCCTCGGGTGTCTGCGCACCGGGCGCAGCGGGACAGTGCAGTCAGGCCCCGTCGGGGGAGGGGGCGGGGAGGGGTGCGGGCTGCCACATCTCCCGAACTAGGGGCAAAATTGGCCGCTGCTCCTTGTCCCGGGGCCTCCACCCGGTCACCGGGGGACACAGAGAACCCCGTGGTGAGACCCTCACGGCACCGGTGGGGAAACCGAGGCACAGCGCGGCGCTGTGGCCGGCGGAGCAGCAGGGCGGGCCGGCCGCAGGGGAGGGCGGAGACACCTACTGGACTGCAGCGTGCGCTGCCGCACCGGCGCGGTGAAGGCGCCCAGGCCCTGCGGCGAGCGCGCCGCCAGCCGGAAGGCGTACTCCGTGTTGGGCTTGAGGTCGTCCACCACGAAGGAGGTCGTCGGGTCGAAGGTTCTTCCCACCTGGGGCCGCAGAGAGGGGGCGGGGCAGAGACGGACAGAGACCACAATGGACAGAGACACGGAAAGGCGGAGACAGAAAGACAGACGCAGAGACAGAAAGCGAGAGAGACACCAGCGAGGACAGAGACAGAGAGAGACAGAGACAGAGAGACAGCAAGACAGAAAGCGAGAGAGACAGAGACAAAGAGACAGAGAGACAGAAAGCGAGAGAGACACCAGTGAGGACAGAGACAGAGAGAGACAGAGACAGAGAGACAGCAAGACAGAAAGCGAGAGAGACAGAGACAAAGAGACAGAGAGAGAGATAGAAAGCGAGAGAGACACCAGCAAGGACAGAGACAGAGAGATAGCAAGACAGAAAGCGAGAGAGACAGAGACAAAGAGACAGAGACAGAGAGACGGCAAGACAGAAAGCAAGAGAGACACCAGTAAGGACAGAGACAGACAGAGAGATAGCAAGACAGAAAGCGAGAGAGACAGAGAGAGACAGAGACAGAGTGACGGCAAGACAGAAAGCGAGAGAGACACCAGCAAGGACAGAGACAGAGAGATAGCAAGACAGAAAGCGAGAGAGACACCAGTAAGGACAGAGACAGACAGAGATAGCAAGACAGAAAGCGAGAGAGACAGAGACAAAGAGACAGAGACAGAGAGACAGCAAGACAGAAAACGAGAGAGACACCAGCGAGGACAGAGACAGAGAGAAACAGAGACGCCAATAAAGAGACAGGAGACACGGAGACGGCGGTCAGAGGACGGCGGGGACAGGGACAGGGAGGACGGAAGCAGGGAGAAGGGACGGTCAGCTGGCAGGCGGGGGGCGCCGGGCGGTCCCCCCCGCGGTGGCGCCTCACCTCCCTGCCGTGGTCGCCTTCGCGGAAGAGCAGCTCGTACTTGACCACGCTCTCCTGCCGCGGGGGGCTCCAGGACAGCGCGATGCTGGTCTCCGACTTGGCCTCGGCCCGCAGGTTCATGGGCTGGCCGGGCACTGGGGGAGACAGGCGCAGCTGGGGACGTCCTGTCCTCCCCAAGGGAAGCCCGGCGTTGCCCTGACGAGAGGGCTGCTCAGCTCCGGCTGCCTCCAAATCGTTCTCGTTCCTCTTATTTTCCTGGGAGACCCCGTCCCCGCCCACCTCAACTCCCCACCCTGTCTCCTTCCTGTGGGGCAAAACACCTTCACAGATCCCCCTTTCCGCCAGGTGCGGCGGCTCACGCCTGTAATCCCGGCAGGAGGATCGCTTGAGGCTGGGAGTTGGAGATCAGCCTGGGCAACGTAGCCAGACCCCATCTCCACAAAAAAATTTTTTAAAAAAATTGGCCGGGCACGGTGGCGCACGCCTGATGTCCCAGCTACTCGGGAGGCTGAGGCAGGAGGATCGCTTGAGCCCGGGAGTTGGAGGCTGCAGTGAGCTAGGACAACGCCACTGCACTCCAGCCTGGGCGACAGAGCAAGAGCCTTTGCCTCTAAAGAAAATTAATTAGAAATAAATAACGCTGGCAAGAAAGCATTTCTAAGCACGGTGCGGGCCCGCAGGGAGCCGGGCCCCGCGCTCACCTCCCTGCTGCGTCTTGACCTGGATGGGGTCCGAGAGGGGCCCGTCGCCCACGGAGGTGAAGGCCAGCACGCGCACGGTGTAGGTCTCGTCCTCCAGCAGGCTGCCCACGGTGGTCAGCAGGCTGTCGTCCACGTTGTGCTTCTGCCAGTTGCCCACGGGGTGCTCGGGCTCCATGGTGTAGTAGACGCGGTAGCCGCGGATCAGCCCGTTGGGCTCCACCGGCTCCTCCCACTGCACGATCATGGTGCTGGCGCTGAGCATGCGGGCCTGCACGTTCCGCGGCGCGCTGGCCGGGGCCTGCTCGCCCGTGCGGGTGACCACCGACTCGCTGGGCGGGCCCTGGCCGATGGAGTTCACGGCCGACACCCAGATCTCGTACTCCGAGTTGGGGCTCAGGCCGCCGATGCTGTAGCGCGTGGTGGTGATGTCCTCCTTGATCTGGTACGGCCCGTCCTGGCTCTTGGATTTATACTCGATGACATAATAGGACACAGGGTCCGGGTTGCCCGAGTCCCACGTGATGGTGATGCTGGTGGCTGTGTTCTCTGTCACCATGGGAGTCCCGGGGGCTTTGGGCAGAGCTGTGGGCAGGAGGCACCATCGGGGGACACCGGTTGAGGACCCTGAAGGCTGTGTGACTTTCGGCCACACGACTGCCCTCTCTGAGCCTTCATTTGCTAGGCAGGAGCGACGGGCCTAACGCTCCCATCTCTTTGTCTACAGCAGGGCCCCAGCAACCTACAGCCGCCAGGCAGACTGTCCGGCACTTACTTTTTAATAAAGTTTTATTGGAACAGGGCCACACTCACACATTGTCAATGGCTGCCTTACGCGACGATGACAGAACTGAGCAGCTTGCGGCAGAGACGAGATATCCCCATAAAGCCGAAAACGTTTACTTTTTAGGAGGTTTGTTTGCAATTTAAGAAAAATATTTACTCCTTAAGGAAACGTTTGCAGCTCTTGGTCTACAGCTCTCTCTGTGGATCACTCTGCTCAGCGGCTTGGGTCTCCTGTCTGTTCCCACTTCATCCTGCTGTTCCATGAACCTCCGACACTTTGCCCCGATAGCCTCAGACTTCCCTCTCGCCTGGTGCAGTTGTCTTTATTACCTGATCGCCCCCCCAGCAAACGAAACTGCGTTTCATTCCCAGCCATTGTGACTGTCCTCAGGAAAACGACCAACAAACTGGCCGATGCTGACACTGCCCATGGCCCTAGGCTAGGGTGTCACCAACGTGTCCTGCAACGTGCCAGGAGGCAATTATTCTCGGCTTTGCAGGCTGGCTGGACTCTACTGCGACTACTCAGCTCTGCCATGATAGCCCTAAAGCGGGAGCTAAGGGCCTGAATGAATGGGTGTGTCTGTGTGCCAATAAAACTTTATTTATAAAAACAACAAGTGGAGGGCCAGATTCAGCCTGTGGGTGGTTGCTTGCCGGCCCCTGCTGTAAAGGTCGAAACACACGTGAGGGCACCGTTCTCTGGACCTCACCACAAACTTGAGATATCAGGAGAATGGGCAGGAGCAGCCACGTTCCCCCGTTTACTCTCTCCGGACACCCTGAGTATTTCGCACATTCTGTTCCACCTTCCCAGAACATTGTTCCTCATCCTCTTTGTCCGGCTCACTTCCGTCCAACTTTCTGGGCTGAGACATCCCCTTCCCCGACCTAACTTTCCTGGGAGGTGGCGCCTTTCCTCTGGGCGTCCTGAATGGCTGGGTGTGTCCCCTCTTTCAGCTCTGCTCAGCCTGTGGCACTGCTGCCCGAGCACACGGGGCCTCCCTCCCTGGACCCAGAGCTCGGCAGGGCAGGGGGCCCGACCCGGAACAGTCCCTAACCAAGAAGGATGGGTTCAGAGGACACCCGTCCTCTTTGCGGCCACGAATGGCCAGCGCCCAAACTGCAGATTCGGGGCTGCTCCGGGTCCGCCTCCCGCCCGTGCCGGGACTCGGGGACACCCTCCAGCCCGCCCTGCCGCCCCCGGAGGACCCTGCTCACATTTCACCGTGATCTGGGCCACCGCCTCGATGACGCCCAGGCTGGACATGGCCACGCACGTGTAGTTGGCCGAGTCCTTGACATCCGTGAGTTCTAGAACATTCCGACCCACGGGCATGTCGTCCTCGGGGGTCAGGTCCTCGGCCCCCTGCATCCACTTGACGTAGGGCATGGGCGAGCCCACGGCCACGCAGGTGATGTTCACGTTGCCACCTGGCATGATCTCGTGGCTCATGGGCAGGATGGAGAACCGAGGCGCCGGCGGCGGCGGGGGTGGGGGCGGGGGGGGGGGAGGGCACCGGGTGGGGAGGGGCGGTGGGAGACAGAAAATGCGGAGGAGGGGAAAAAAAAAAAGAAAGAAAGAAAAGCAGAAAGAAAGAAGGAAAGAAAGAAAAAAAAAGGAAAAAAAAAAAGGGGAAAACAATTTAAATATAAACAAGGCCGTTCCTTTTCCCCCAATTAAATTTTTTTCCCCCAAATGAAAACGAAACAAAAGAACCAAATTAAAAAACCAAACTCCAACACAAAGAAAAGCAAAACTTCAAAGGAAGGCACTTCACAAACAATATATAGAGAGATATATTGATATATTAAAGAGACATGAAGCGCTATCTCATAGCAAGAGGGTTTCGTGGACCAGAGTGGCTGGCCACAGCACAGAGAGGGACACAAAAATTTATCAGCGGTTTCTCATCTTTGCTGACAGACGTGGCTCCGGGGAGCAGTCACCCGCCTGGGGGAGCGCGGGAAGGTTCCGGGCTGCGAGCGTCAGGGTTTTGGGGTGGCCGGGGGAGGGGACGGCTGCGGGAGGGGACGGCCCAACCCCCCCTGGTCCTCTGGGGCCTTGAGGACGTCAGATCTCACCGGGGAGGCGGAGGGAGCCTGAGAGCCGGTCCCCCGACTGTCCTCGTCCCGCCCGGTTGACTCGGGGCCCCGCCCGCTCCCCCGTGGCCCGCAAGGGAAAGATGAGAAACTCTAATGAAATTTTTGTGGTTTTGGGTATCGAAACCCTTCTAGAAGCTTCTGTCGGATCTGACAAGTTTCCACTGATAGATGCGGCTCTCAGAATCACAGACGTCATGCAACATGGGTCCAGAGAGAGAGAGACAGAGAGAGAGAGAGAGGAGGGGACGGAGGGAGGGACAGAGGGGAGATGCATTTCGGGGCTGCCCGGTGCACACGCGTGAGGGGGCCAGAGAGAGAGGGGGGACAGATGGCTTGAGAGACAGAGACAGAGAGAGGGAGGGACAGAGACAGACAGAAAGAAAGGGGGGAGGGGGCCCACTTCAATGCTGCATATTAAGTCTAGCGGATGTGACCCAATGTGACACGTCACATTGTCACATCACAGCCCTGGCAGAATAAACAGGATATTAATAATAATAATTAATTATAATCATCAACGAGGGGGTGAACTTGAACGCTGAGGAAACGGGGACACGTTCTGTGCATTTCTTAGCAGGGAGGGATGCGGCCTTCTGTCCCCCTCTCGGGGGGCGGCGAAGGCGGCAGGATGCATTTCGGGGGCTCCATTTTCGGAAGGCGGATGGGTTTCCGGGGTGGGGGGGCGCTGACGGGCAGCGGAGCTCGCAGAAGGCGCCGCCTGCCCCACGGGGGACGTGGACGGCCGGGGAGCGCTCGGGCTGACCTAGGCGATGTCGCTGGCCTCAAAGGGTCGTCCCTGGGCGACTCTCAGGAGCCACGGAAGCCCGTGGGTGGGTCCCCAGCGTCCAGGGGCAGAGGAGGCCTGTTCCCACGTGCAGGTGACAGACTGGAGGCTCAGCAATGCTAGACGGCTGGCTAGGGTCACCTGGCTAGGGTCACCTGGCTAGGGTCACCGTCCCCGCCTACCTCCGATTTGCACGTGGTCTTAGGGGCGCGGCCTGGGGGGTGGCTTCAGGGGGGCTCTGTCTGCTCTACCGAGGAGGGGGCTTCCGGGGGTGAAGGAAGGTGGCCCCAGTGCCCTCCCTCCCAGCCTGGGTCCCTCGCTGGAAACTGGACCCCTGATCCCCGAATCCCGGCGGGAGCTCGGCGGGCGTGGGGGTGGGGCCTGGAGCCGGCAGCCCTTCGGAAAACGAAGCCCCGCGAAAGGTCCAGAGTCACTCACGGTGGAGACAGGATGGAGGGGTGGCAGGTGCCACCCCAGGGACGAGTGGCGGTGGGGGGACGGAGGGACCATGCAGCCGAGAGGAGGGGAAGGGCGAGGTGCTCAGGTGGGGCAGGGGGTGGCCTTCCGGCAGGGGGTGGCGGGTGGCAGTGGGGGGGACGAATGGGGCCCGGCCAGCCCGCCACCGACATCCACAGTGAGGCTCGGGCGGGCGGTGGGGGGTGAGGGTGGGATGCAGTGGCCGCGTTGTCATGGAAACGGAACACGATGGGGGGATGAGTGTGGGGCGGAGGGGTGGGGAGGCTAATTATTATTCAAGGACAGGAAAAAAAAAAAACGGTATCGACATCCAAAACAAAAGCAGGAAGAACAAATGAAAATATAAAAGCAAAAATGGGGAGGAAAAAAAGAATCTAAAATATAAACAAAAAGTAACCCCTCTGGAACGAAACAAAACACCCCAAAATCAAAAAGCTAAAAAAAGATAAATAAATTAAGAAAAAGTCATGGAATGGGTGTGGGGCTGAAATCGGGGTCTGAAAGGAAGAGGGGCGTGGCTTCCCAAGGGGGTGGCTCTGGCCCCCGCCCGCGGGCAGAACACAGGGTCGGCCGCCGCCCGCAGCCTTGGCCAGGGCTGGAGGTGGCCACGGGCCGGCCCCTCTCCCCGGGGAGAACGAACTTTCGCTACAAAGCAGCCCAGCCGCACTTGAACCTGTCTCCCTGCAGCCCCGCTCAGGGCTGGGCGAACGCCAGGCCCTAAAGCTCAGGGGCAGCTCCCCGGGGGCTGGGAGTCCCCTAGAAAACCAATCCAGGCAGACAGGGAGGGGCTGAGCTGGCTGAGTAAGCCCGGTGGCCTTGGGAAGCCCCCCCACCCCCGCGCCAAATCCCCAACTGAGAAGCCTCAGTTTCCTCATCTGTAAAATGGACGCAATCGGGCGACCTGAGGTCGTCAGTCCGGTCGGCACCGTGCAGGGCTGGGGGAAATGGTGAGAATTTCTACCAGATCTGCACCTCGCTTTCTCCCTCCCAACAATTTTGAGAGGCCAATGACCTGATGCTCATTTTGCAGATGAGGGAACAGAGGCTGGCGGACCAGCTGGAAATGGCCAAGGAAGGGGGTGGTGTGGCCAGAGCTCAAAGCCAGGCCTGCCTGGTCCCTGCCTCTCAGATAGAGCAAGCCATCGCTCGCCGTGCTGAGGACAGACTACAGCCAGGCGTCAGTTCTCGGTTTCTGGCTCTTCCAGACATGTGTCCCCGGCCCACTGGGGACACCAAAGAGGGCAAAACTACCCATCCCTTATATGTAATTTCATCAACTGAATTACTGGCCAGGAGCCACCAGCTGAATGTCCAATAGCCATCATAATGAACGTCCAGAAGCCATCAGTGAAAGGCTCATATTGAAAGGAATTGTTGGAGCGTCAAGGGGAGTAGTAAGATCTAGCTTTAGGATCTAAAGGTTAAATGTCAGGCCGATTTCTCTCTTCTGTAAGGGTCAACATCTCACCCAAAAGACCCTGTTCATGTCTGACCTTACCTTAAAATCTCTCCCCTTAGGGGACTCATAATTTGGAAGGTGCCACTAACTGTTTTTAGAAGTACACACAAGGGACACATCTTGAATCTTTAAAAGATGTGCTGTGTAGGGCTGTCAACCACAAGTCAGTTCAGTGTGGGGGGACATCTATCAACAACAGTAATTTCAGTGCTCATAATCTCCAACATGGCCAGCAGCCATCAGTTAAATGGGCCTGCCAACAAGCTTATAAAGGCTTTTCTGACACCTAAGAAGCGTCGCCCACTCCACCTCACTGGTCCCTAAGGCGGCGCTGTAGGAAGAGGGCTGGTGTGAGGAGGACCGTGCCCACTGGCACAAGGTGGCCCGGGCTCCCTCTGGGGCCTCAGAAGGCCCCGGGCGCCCTCCCGGCTGCCAAGGGCGGGCGGCTGACGCTGTGTTCTGCCCGGTCTGGTGCTGACGCCCACCCACGTCATCCTTCCACCCCCGGCTGCAAGCTTGAGGTGCGGGGTCAGAAGGTTAAGGCGGGCACGGAGCCCACGGGGCGGAGAGGCCCGCGGGGCCCCCGCCCCCGATTACCGACCTGAGTGGAAGGTCCAGGCGGGCTATAAGGGGACCACGCCGGCCTCGGTCCTCAGCACGCTCCAGCTGGCTCTGGTTTCCAGCTCCTCTCGCCACCGAGTGGCCGGGGGTCCCAGCGGGGGTTGGGGGGCTCACGTGGGCGAGGGGGCGGGAGGGTGGGGGCGGGTGGCAGGTTGTGGGGGGGTGGTCGCTTCAAACCCCGATTCGCATGGAAAAACAACTCAAAGACCGTCAAAGCAACCAGGAGACGACCCTCCCCCAGGCAGGAAGAGGCAGAAACTCAAAAACCAAAAGACGGGGTGCGGGGAGGAGGCGGGGGGGGTGAGGGCAGAGGAGGGTGGGGAGGAAACTTAAAAGTGAGGTGATCTGGTTGAAGCACTAGGTAGGGAACCCCGACAGTGTCGGACATCTCAACGATTCAGCAAGCCGCAGCTCCGAGGCGGGGGAGGGGGCGGGGGGGGGGCTCTGCTGGGCATTTTGGGGTGAGAGAAGGTTCTGGATGCTTCTCCAAACTCCAAAATGAAAATGCGGATGGGGAGGGCAGGGGAGAGATGCCAAGAAGTTGTGCAGCCTCTGGGGGGGCTTACTTAAGCTTAGATTACACCTGTCGGGGAGGGGGAGAGGGAGGGGTTGGAGTCCTAGTTCCAAAGCCCACGGCCGGCCCCTCCTTTGAACCCCGGCCCCCCTCTCCACCGTCCTCCTGTGCCCCCCCGTCCCCCGCCAGCTCCCTCGGCCACCCGGACAGCGTGCACGGCCGGAGGGACCTGGCTGAGCCCTGGCCCACGGCTGCCCCGCGGCCTTGGCGAGCGGCCGGCGCTACGGACGTTTTTGATTTTATTGTCCTCATCGTTTTTTTTGGTACCCTCTCTCTCTCTGCCCCCTTGCCAGTTTCATTCCCGCCCCCCCACGTCCCTGCCAATCTGTTGACTCCCGCCACCCCCTCGCCGCGGCCGCGGGGACACGGGCCCTCCCGGTGACGAGGTGTAATCTAAGAGTCCCCTCTCGCCCCCGCAGAGGAAACAGCGACGCAGACGTGAGCGGCAGGCAGCAGGCGGAGTGCTCAGAGCTCAGTGTTCCTGCGAGGGCCCTCCCGGCCGCCCACCACGCCCAAATCGGGGAGCCTGACCCCCGCCCCGGCGTCCCCTCCCCCGGGGGACGGGAAGCTCCTGATCCAGCACTGCCTGCCCCCACGGCCGAGCCCGGGGGCTTGGGTGAGGACACGAGGCCAAGTGCAGTAAGGAGAAACTAAAGGGCTGTCCAGCGCACCCCGATGGGGGTCTTTTGGGAGACAGAGGAGCTGAGGGGTGTCCTGCGCCCAGTATCTGTGTCTACCCCTGTTTTCAGGGGGCCAGGAGGTAAGAGGGACACCTAGAGAGGTCACATCCACCAATTCTAGGGCTTGGGCACCGGAAATTTAATTTTAAAAACAATGCGTCTCTCTGCCCCCCCCCGCCCCCCAAAACCGCATGTTATGGATGGGTCTGAAAGACGGCATCGCGGCTCACAGAGGTCTGAAGCTGTTTTCCAGGGAAAACTGGGGCAGTCTAGACCTTCCTGGCACCGGGCATCAAGTCCCGGCTTCTTAGCTCAGCGTTCGAGACTTTGCATTAAATTATCCCAGTCCTGTTGGCCTCTTCCAAAGCCCGGAAGATATCCTAAGCCCCTTCAAGGCAGAAAGTTCTCCCTGCTGTCCCTAGCTTGTTTCAACGACCCGTGGCACCAGGCGGGTGGCACACCATTTAACTGGGCCCCGTGCGCCACGGTTCAACCATGCTACGTTGCTAGGCCAGGTGGCAAAGACTCCACCTTGAGCCGACTAACCCAGACCCTAAACGCTTATGGTTTTCAAGAGACAGAAAAGAAAATTAACAGCCAGGGAGAACGTAATCTGATCATCTTGTCAAAAGCCTGAACAACATGGTCCCCAGGGCACTCTGGGAGGAGAGCTGCCGCCAGCTATCTTTTAAAAAATGGGCATGGTTTTGACTTCAGCCCTTTGGATCCCAGAGATAAATTTCAGGAGGGAGAAGAGCTAGTCTGATTAAACTGCCCCCCCCCAAAACCACCCAGATTTCAGCAGAAGCTGGAGATATTGTCAGTTATAAGAAGACTCTGCTTGGGGGTGGGGATTTCTCGCAATTAATTTCTGGGACTGGCGGCTCAGGCAACAATGTAAACACTTTGTAGCTTTCAGGGCAGAACACGCCAGGCAGCCTGTTTCCTCTGGCGGGCTGGTACTTATCTGCAAGGGTAGCCTAGTCCTTAAACAAAGGCTTTTATTGTCCCCTTCTGTGGCTGCTGAAATTGCTAGGGAAACGGCAGGGGGCCAGACAAGAGCTGTGGCTCTGGGGAGGCCACTCATCTCGCGGGGATGGAGCTGGGGGGTAACGAGATCATAAGATGAGTGCTCAGAAAAGCACTAGTGAAAAATGAGGTCCGAGCAGATGAATTAGCTTCTGCCCTACGGTTCTTTCCAGAACAGTTTCCGAGATGCCACCTTATTCAAACAGTGGACACGTGAAGTACGTAAAAACGGGGAAACCGAGGCCCCCAAGGAAGGGAAGTGACTCGCCCAGATCACTTGCTTAAACTCTTTCCTTCCCGATCTTGTAATAATCCTATGGGTAATTTTTTATGTCCGTGACACAGAGTACCCGATGAATGCTGCAAAAAGTCCAAGTGGTCTTCAGAGACCCTTAGCATGTCCAGTTCCAATTCCCCAGGACCTAGCTTTGGTGGAGGGATCAGGAGACCTCTCTTTCCCATCTGTGGGGGTTTTCCTCAGGGTTAGCCTGGCAGCTAGCACACTGGGTTAGTAAGGAGATGGGAGAAATAAAACCCTTCTTGCTGCAAATAAAGTCCTCTTGCCAACGTGGCCCTGGCTTTAATAATTGGGAGTTTAAAGAAGGAGGGTGAGGGACAAGAGGCGATCCTAAAGAGGCTGGCCTCTGCCCTCAACTATCATCTACACTGGGTAGTGAGCTGGGGCCGGGGGGGGGGGCGGTTAGAAATCTAAATGGATTATTTGATTATGGGCTGGTTTTTATTTGGGGCTGCAGCAGGACTCTCGGGGGCTTGCCCTTTCTCGGGGAGGGAGGAGAAGATGGGGGTGTGCATCTCTGAAGGTTAGCGGGAGTGAGAGACACACAGAGAGAAAGAGAGCTGAAAGAGAGAGAGAGGGAAGCAGACAGAGAGTCTGGGAGGCAGAGAGAGCAGGGGAGAGGCCGTGTCCAAGGTGCCCCTGGGTTTTCTCCAGAATTCCACAGCTCTGATGCTCAGGTACTCAGAAAGTGACCATGCCGTGTTACTGGACAAAAGAAGCCTGTGACTGAGCCCCGAGTCTGAGAGGGGATGGGGGGAGCAGCCAGCGTCGCCCGGAAGGCGGAGGCGTAGTACTCCAGGCCAGACCAGTGGCCAAGTCTTCCTCTCACGAGTCTGTCGTGCTACGTGTTCTGATGGGCAGTTCTGAACATGTGCCCGGACAGGATGTACGAAGTCTTCACGCCGGCTGCCACTGTGAGCGCTAGGTGCCACACACGCGTCCTCCTGGGAGGATGGTGCTGGGACCGCCCTCCCCAATCCTGATTTTAAGTCGACCACTATCCACGTGTGGACGCGTCACTAAATCGAATGAGAATTCAAAAGTGCTGGTGCACATTCAGCGGCACTTCAAATGCCTGTTGTTCCGAGTCATTTGGAAGGGTGGAAGGTAGTCTGGTGCTGAGACGGAAGGGCGGAAATCTGCCTACTTGGACCTCCTTCCAACATGGCCGCCCGAGAAGGGGAGGCTGCACCCCCGGTTCTGGGAAAAGAGGGGCTGGCCGGTGAGTTCAGGCATGTTGGGCTGCTCCCCTACACTCCCCGCCCAGACCTCCCGCCATCCATCCGCGCCACCCCCCTGGTGCCCTGGTGCCTAAGTGGTCACTTTCTGCCCCAGCATCCCAGCTGTGGGACCCCTTCCGCCCTCCTGGGTGGTAGCTGGGACAGGAACACTGGCTTTTAGGTCACAATGCGTTTGGAGAACAACCACACAACAGCTCAGCCCAGGAAACCAAAAACCAAATAGCACAGAAACAAGACAGAACCAAAGACAAAATCGCTTTGGGGGAGAAGGGGACTGGGTAAAAGGAATGCGAGGAGGGGGGGAAAAATGAACCAATCGATTTCCTCCCCCAAAACTAAACAAAACCAGAAAAAGAAAAAAAAAAAAAAGAAAAGAACGAAAGAAAAAAAGAAAAGAAAACCAAAAGAGAAGAACAGAACGGAAGACGAGAAACACTCCAACAGAAGGCGTTGGGAATTCACCAAACCAAACCAACAAGAGGCATGCAGAGAAATTGTTACATTCTCCCAGCATGCATCAGGCCCAAGTTACCATGACGACGAGGAGTGCAAAAAACTTAGCAACAACATTACCAACGGATGCAGAGGCGAAACACAATGCAAGCATCGCATGTGTGCGGCCGGCCCTAGGCCGGGCTGGGTGTGGCTGAGATTTTCGTGTCTTTCTGGGTTTTTGCTCTCACTTGGCGGGTTTGATTTTTGTTTTGTTTTTGCTTTGCGCTTATGATTCACATTCCATCTTTGTGATCGTTTCCTTTTTTTTTTTTCTAGTTTTCGTTTTTTTTTTTTCCGTGTGCATGTCAGCGTGTGTCGGTGTGGTGTCTAGAGGTGTTTCGTGCGTGTGCGTGTCATTTTTTCAGAATGTAAAAATGCGGGTAAAGAAAGTAAAAAAGAAAAAAACACACCAACCTTCTCGAAGCTCTGAGGGATGTAAAGGGGGTTTGATGCGGAACACAATGACATGGGAAGAAGAGAAAAAAATAGGGGAGATACAGAGAGTAAAAAGAGGCCTTCCCAAGGCTAAAAGCTGCAATAGTTTGCTGTTTTTTTTTCTTTAAACCAAAAACAAACAAAAAATTAAAATTAAAAAACAAAAATAACAGCAATGACCTTCTTTTTCCTTTCCTTCCGCTCTGCCCTCGACACACAAGGTCTACAATTTTCTTTCTTATTTCTTTTCTCAATTCGATTTTGGAGTATCTGAGACTGGGAGGGCTGGACCTAAGCCCCGCCGGTGCACCCCGAGAGGAAGGGGGCTCGGGCTGGGCAGCCCAGCCCTGGGGCCGCGGACACGGAAGGGCCCTCCTCCCTCTCGGCCCGCCCGCCCGCCCGCCCCACGTCCGCACTGCCTCTCTGGAGCCCGCCAGGTCCGCGCCCCCCACGCCCACGTTGAGAGAAACAAGCAGGTTAGGCGAAGACCAGTCCGTCGGAGTCACGAACGCGCCTGCAACTCACCGGAGGTGCCGGACGGCGGATGGGACGTGCCCCCGCCCCGCCCCCACCCCGACTCCCACCCGCCCTCGTGGGCCCCCCTGCAGAGACAGGATGCGAACTCGGGGTCTAGGGCCAGGGAGCTGCCTCCGGCAGGCGGGAGCTGCGGCTGGCGGGGATGGGCGGGTGCGGGCGTGTGGGCAGGGGCCAGCCAAGCGGCCTGCCCAGCGGAGAATGAACCGGGGCTTGGTGCCTCGCGTGGGGGAAATTGAGGCCTGCAGGCGGACCTGATCGAGGCAGCTCCACAGAGCGGATGGGGCAGCCCTGGGGGCCGAACCTGACTGGCGGGGGGGGACCTGAGTCTACCTCGGATGGGAGTGACGCTGACTAGGAGGGGGGCGGGCTGGAGAAAGTCAGCCTGGAGGAGGAGGAGGAGGAGGAGGGCGGCAGGAGGACGGCAGAGGCATGGGGGCAGGGAGCCCCGGCACCCTGGAGGAGGCGCCCAGGGGACGGGAAGGACAGACGTTTGCACAGAAAGTTCCCTGGGGCGGGGACAGGGGAGTGCGGGCGAGGCGAGGACCCCGGCTTGCGGGGACCGAGTGACAGGCTTCGCTGGGTGCGTGCCGCCCAGCCGGTGGGCCCTGCCCCCAGTGCACCCGCCTGCGTGGCCCGGCCCCGTGGCCTCGACTGTCCTTTTCCGAGGGTGGTTAGGAAGAGACAGAAAGCACCAGGCTCGGGGACAGCCGCAGGCGCGGGGACCCGACCAGCAGGCGGGAGGTGGCCTGGAAGACCCCCGCCTCCCGGCCCTGGGCCGAGGCGCCGGCGGGCGGGCGGGCGGCAAAGCGGGGCGCTACGAGGCCACAGAGTGGGGAGAAGCACAGCCAGCACACGACACGCACGACACACCACAGAAGCCGACTGGGGCGGGCGGGGGCGGGGCCTGCAGGCTCCCCCGGCCCTGTAGGCCCAGACTGACCCCACCTGCCCGCGCCTTCCCGCCCGCCGCCCCCCAGGGGCGCCCGCTGCGAGGCTGGGGCGGGGAGGACTCAGCTGCCCATTTCACAGACAAGGAAACTGAGGACGGGGGAGGGTGCTGCCTCGCTGGAGGCCCCACGGCGGCGGGAGGGGCCTTGCTGCCGGGGTCCGCAGGGGACGGGGGAGCCCAGAGGCTGGAGCCCGAGGAGGGGCGGGGAGGAGGGACGGGCGGGTCCCTGCGCGGGGCGGGAGCGGCGTTCCCTACCTCGCACGTAGAGGTTGGCGGGCGAGGAGTAGCGCACGCCGGCGCTGTTGGTGGCCACGCACTCGTACTTGCCCTGGTCCGTCTCCTCGCTGCTCTCGATCTGCAGGGCTCCTGCGGGCACAGGGCGAGGCTCAGCCGTCAGCGGGCGGCGGAGTATGGGGAGGGCCGTCCCACCTAGTGCGGAGCGTGGGGAGGGCCGTCCCACCTAGTGCGGAGCGTGGGGAGGGCCGTCCCACCTAGTGCCGTGTGGCCCGTCCCCTCTCCTGGCCGGGCCCTCTCCTGGCCGGTCCCCTCTCCTGGCCGGTCCCCTCTCCTGGCTGGCCGTCCCCTCTCCTGGCCATCCCCTCTCCTGGCCGGGCCCCTCTCCTGGCCGTCCCCTCTCCTGGCCGGGCCCCTCTCCTGGCCGGGCCCCTCTCCTGGCCGTCCCCTCTCCTGGCCGTCCCCTCTCCTGGCCGGTCCCCTCTCCTGGCTGGTCCCCTCTCCTGGCCGTCCCCTCTCCTGGCCGGGCCCTCTCCTGGCCGTCCCCTCTCCTGGCCGGGCCCTCTCCTGGCCAGGTCCCTCTCCTGGCCGTCCCCTCTCCTGGCCGTCCCCTCTCCTGGCCGGGCCCTCTCCTGGCCAGGTCCCTCTTCTGGCCGTCCCCTCTCCTGGCCGTCCCCTCTCCTGGCCGTCCCCTCTCCTGGCCGGGCCCTCTCCTGGCCGGGCCGGAGAGGCAGCCAAAGACGTGAGTTAGCCTAGAAGGCCCGGCTTGGCGGAGGCTCGTGTCAGTCCCACCCGAGTCTAGCCGCACGCACTGGGTGCCCGGCAGCCCCTCCGCTCTGGCTGTCAAGGCAGCCGGTCCCACGGCCAAGCCTCCACACAACAACTGCCACGATGAACCAGGAAGCTGGGGAGCGTTTGGGAGCTCCAGGGACCTGCAGGGCCACCACGAGTCGGGCGGACACCCAGGGAGCTGGTGGTTGCTTGGCTGAGTTTAACCAGTGCCCATGAGTAAATGAACGTGGGCCCGCATTCCCTCAAGTGTGTTTGGAATCAGAGGCCTCAAAACCCTCGGTGCCTGTAAATAAGTGGAGACAGGGCTGCACTTTTCCAAGGGTGCTTGAACTCTTGGGTTACGGCCCACGACAGCTAAGGCCAAGGTCTCGGAGACGGATTTGCATCAAGTATGTTTGAAATCAAAGGCCTGGATCAAAGCCGCCTGTGCGTGACACTAACTCAAGAGAGTCACAGTTTCCCCAGGAACTCGGAGACCTCTGGGTGTGGATAAGTCAGTCTGAAGCCCCCACCTGTGTTTAAAACCACAGGCCTAAATTCAAGGCCCTGCAGCGGAACTGAATGAACGTCTTCAAGTGTGTTTGAAATTATGGTCCTAGACCCAAATTTGAGATGCTCACGGGTGCATGAAGATTGCATTAAATCTTCAAAAATGTTTGAAATCTCAGTTCTGATTGCACTTACAATTAAAGCTAAGGCTGAAATGCGTATTTTAAATCACAATCGTGGATCAAACGATGTGTTGATCATGAATAAAGATAGCAAGAAGAGGCCAGTTAAAATCACAGGCCCAAATCCAAGGTTTTGGTGTCCGTGAGTCTATGAAAATAGGCCGGATTTCCTCTTAGTATGTTTGAAATCACAGGCCCAGCTCAAAGGCTTCACTTCCCACGTGAACGTATAACAAACGACCGAACCTTCCCGAGAACATCTACAATCACAGGCCTTGATCAAACACCACGGTGCCCACGAGTAAATGAAATCAAGGCCACGATGTCCCCAGGGACATTGGACACCACGAGCCAGGAACGAGTCTGAATTCCCACAAGTAAATGAAGCTAAGTGTGTTTGACGTTACAGCCCTTGATTCAAAGACGTAAGTGCCCACACGTAGAAACTGAGGCACAGGTATCCATCCACAAGTATGTTTGAATCGCAGGCCTGGCCCCACGTGCCTGCTGACCATGAGTAAATGGTGGCGTGTTTGAATCACAGGCTGCAATCGGAGTTTGAGGCGTCTAGAAGCGCCAGGCTTCCCGGCTGTGTTCAAGGTGTGTCCTTCCTGGTAGGGATGACACAGACCACAGGCTGGCAGGTGCTCTCTGGGGGCCACGGATGAGGGCTCTGCCCCACCCGGAGAACACTTCCTACCTTCCCCCGACCCCAGGGCTCTGGGGGAGCAGGCAGGTGGGTATCACTATGGAGGCCCAGAGAGGGTAGGGAACTTGCTCTAGGTCACACAGCATCTTGTGGCAACTGCTACAACCAGACACTGATTCTTCCCCAGGGCTCCCACTCGGGCCTATCCTAGTCTCTCTCTGGGGCGGCATTTTGGGGGCGCAGGGGGGCCTAGCTGGAAAAAGCCTTTGAGGACGCCCGTCTCTGTCCCCTTGCAAAGCCACAGGTCCTCTCTGCACTCACGCTGCCGGTGGCGAGAGCACACCTGAGCCCGGCGATGGGGGGGGGGGCGTGCGGGCAGCGAGCGCCCTTCTTGGGGGGGGAGACCCCCCTGCCCACAGCCCGGGGACACGAAGAGTCACTCTGGTCACCCTCGGCCATAGACAGAGACAAAGACGCAGAGACGGACAGACACCAGACGGGGTGGCTAGGAGGACACGTGGGGGGGCGGTGGCGGGGGGGGTGTCCGCGGGGGGGTGCGCTGGCGTGCAGCGAAGCACGTGTGAGTGGTGGCGGCTGGGCGGGCGGGTGAGGGGCGCCTCTTACCTCGGATCGGAGTGCTTTCTGTAAGGGAAGCAGAGACAGGCAGTGAGTGTCAGAAGGCAGCTGTGGGGGGCCGGGGGGCCCCCCCGGGAAGGCTGGGCCGGGCCACGGGAGCCAGGCCTGGGCCTACAGACCCTGCAGGCTTTGCTGAGCCTCCTAGGGCCGGGCTGGGGTCAGAAGGCGTGCCGAGCAGGAGGGCTTCCCGGAGGAGGTGGCAATCTGGGGGGGGTCCAGGGGAGGTGAGTCCAGAAACCTCTGTGGGCGGGCCTGAGGGCGTCTCTGCGCCCGGGGTGGGGGGAGTTCTGGCGGGGCCCAGCGAGGAGCCGGCTCTCGAGTCCGGACGAGGGTGGGGAGGGCAGGAAGAAGTCGGAGTCTGGTTAGAACGGGGTGCGGGAGGGTTAGTGCCCGGGCCAGGCATGAGGACGCAGGGGAGCACTCACGCAGGTGAGGAGGGTCCGGGCGCAGGGAGGGAGCCCTGCCGCTCTCCTAGCCTCCCAAAGGAAAAGAGGAAAGAGCAGGAGAAGCAGCCCCCAGGCTGGAGGTCACGCCCTCGGCCCACGCTGGGGGGTTTCGGGCTCTGAGGGCGGCAGGACCCGGCTGGGGACAAGCAGAGCCCAAGACCAGGGCCGAGGAGCTGGCGGGAGGGGCTGGACGGGTGAGAAAACAGCCTCTTCTGCGTGGCGCAGACCCACTATGCAGATGGGCACACTGAGGCCCCAGGCTTAGAACCTCTGAGGTCACGTCATGAGCATGAAGCAGGGGTGAGCGGGCCTCGAGCCCACTCCTCTGGCCTCCTGGGCTAGGGAGCTTCTCGCTCGAACTTCCTGTGGCCCTTCTCTCTTTTTTTGAGACCAGGTCATACTCTGTCGCCCGGGCTAGAGTGCAGTGGTGTGATCGTAGCTCACTGCAGCCTCCAACTCCTGGCCTCAAGCGATCCTTCTGCCTCAGCCTCCCGAGTAGCTGAGACTACAGCTGCATGCCACCATGTCCTAATTTCTGTATTTTTTTTTGTAGAGACAGGGTCTCCCTATATTGCCCAGGCTGGTCTCAACCTCCTGGTCTCAAGTGATCCTCCTGCCTGAGCCTCTCAAAATGCTGCAATTACAGGCGTGAGCCACTCCTGGGCACCTGTGTTATTTTGGGGGATCTCCTCAACCCATGAGGCCACTCTTCCCCCTTTCCCCAGGAGCAAACGAGACTCTGCCCAGGGTCACACTGTGGAGACCAGGAATCTAGGTCGGCCCTCGCTGTGAACTGTTTTCACTACCCGTGGGCGGTGCTCAAGGTGACCAAAGCGCCCAAAGCTACTCTACTGAGCAGAAAGGATGTCCCTCTTAGGCATTAAAGACAGTTCTGCTTCTTACTCTGGGGGAGCTAAGAAGAGACTACCATGGGCCAATATTAGTCACTCTCACCTTAGTAAGAATTAGCCCAGCAGTTGGTTTCAGGGCATTCCAGGCGAATGCTGGGAGAAAAATGGGTGAGAAGTACCTAGCACCGGCCCGGCTGGAAAACTCCCCACTGCACCTCACCCCAGCCCCCCAACTTCTGTAGCTAAATCCTTTTATAGCAGTGCTAAGTCCAAGAACGGAGCAGGGAGGCAGCCTCGACTGTTGGGCGCGAAGTCCCACTGGCCGGGGGACGTCTGGCTGGCCCTTCGTGGACTTGCCTTTCTTTCCTCTTTTCCTTCTGGGCTCCTCTCTCTGCAGCCCACCGGTGCCCGGCGGGGAGGGCTGGGTGGCTGGTGGGGGTGGGGCGTTAGTGATCATGCCACGCACGGTGGGTCACGGTTACTGTCACGGTGGCTGTTAGTGGGGGCGGGGAGGGACACGGGAGGGCGTTAGTTGCCGTGGAGAAGAAGTCACTTACCAAAGGTTTCTGAGTGTTTACAACAGAGGGACGAGAAAAGAGAACAGGAAGGTTAATGGGTGGGGGGCGGTGACTGGGGGGCGGAATGTTCCGGTTAAAATAAAACACACCACGTGGCTCCTGTCCACCGAGCACCTGGCAGGCGCTGGGGCCCTTCCCGGCGACCTGGCGAGATCGCGAGGATGCAGGCGTGTCAGGAGGAAGGCCAGGCTCGAGGAGGGCGGCCTGCGCTGGGACACGGGGCTGGCACCTGCGCCCGGGCCGCCGGCTCCGAGGTCCCCGTCCCCCAGCGGCCCCACCCCTGCGCCACGGCGGGCGCTGCCGCGCCTGCCAACGGGCCACACCGGGCTTGCCGGGCCGGGTCCTTGTTGGTGGGGACAGGGGGACAGGGGACAGGGAGCCGGGCAGGGACACAAGGAAACAAAAGGCGCCGGCCGTGTGGGGCGTGGGCCCCGCAACAAGGGCCTCCAGCTCTGAACGGTTGAAAACAAAACAAGGCGACCCTGTGACGCGGACACACACAGGCATGGAGATGCACACACAAGGACCACGTCCCGCGCGCCCCCACGGCAGGGACTGGGACAAGCTGCACGCGGGGAAGGGGACGGCGACCCCCCGGGGTGCTGCCGGCCCGGACACGCACACGCAGACACGACACGCACACACACGGACCCCCAGACGGACGGACCCACGGACAGGGCGCGTGTGTGCCCTGCCCAGGCCCAGAGGCGGGAGCACCTGTCCCCAAGGTGGCCGAGGCCTGTGCTCCGTCCCTGGGTCTCCCGGCCCCAGCCAGGCCTGGACAGACAGGCGGGGCGACACGTCTGTGCCCGTCAGACCCGAGCCTTCACCCCGCCCTCTGTCTGTCCCGTTCCATCCTTACTGCGTTAGCCTTGGAGACACTCTCTCTCTGCAGCCTTCTACGGCTCCCTAGTACCTTACCTGTCTACGGCCTAGGGCTTCAGCAGAGATGCTCTCCCTCTGCCACCTGCCATGGCTCCCCGTCTACCACCCCTGCCCCTCTGTGCCCCGCTAGAGCCCCACTGGTGCAGCTCCGAAGACGTTCTTTCCCAGAGCCTGTGACCTCTGAGGCTGCCCTCCCCCTACCGCCCTCCACGGCTCCCACGTCCCGTCGGCCGCCCGCGCTCACCTGATCGCAGCTGCTTGATGCGCCCGTTGCTGGCACTCGGGTCCACGGGCAGGAAGTCCTTGAACCAGGTGATCTCGGGGTCGGGGTTGCCGCTGGCGGCACAGAGCATGGTGGCCGTCCGCGTGCGCTCCACCACCTTCAGCTGCGGGCCCATGTCGATGTTGGGGAAGCCGGAGGGCAGCTGGTCCTCTGCGGAGGGACGGGGCGGGCGGGGCTGAGCCGGGCGCGGCAGCCATCGGGGCGGGCCCAGGACCGCCGTGTGACCTCAGCCCGGGCCACCCCCTCTGACGGCTCCCCCTCCTCCGCACACGGGACAGCGCCAGCCCCCAGGGCACTCCTGTCACCCGCACCTGCCAGCCCCCAGGGCACTCCTGTCACCCGCACCTGCCAGCCCCCAGGCCACTCCTGTCACCTGCGTCCCGTGCCACTCCTGTCACCCGCGTCTGCCATCCCCAGGGCCTGGCACCACCGCGCCCGCCCTGAGTACGAGTCTCAGTGTCACTCCCCACGGCTCATGCGCCTTCGCTCTGGAGCACCCAGACCCCCACGGCTCAGGCACCTTCGCTCTGGAGCCACCCAGACCCTCACGGCCCAGGCACCTTCGCTCTGGAGCACCCAGACCCCCACGGCTCAGGCGCCTTCGCTCTGGAGCCACCCAGACCCCCACGGCTCAGGCGCCTTCGCTCTGGAGCCACCCACGCCGAGCACCGGCGCCAGGTGGAAGGACTATTGGTGTCGCCACGGCAGCCCCAGCACGCAGCGCAGGCCTGGCGCATGCAGCAGGCGCTCAGCAAATGCACAAATGGCTGGATCCTGGGTGCTATCGGCGCCATGCGGGGTCCCAGGCGGGGGCCATAGAGTCGGGGTGCTGGGACAAGGAGGAGACATGAACCCCCGGTTCCTCCCCGGGAACTGCTGAGCCCTGAGCGCTGTGACCGGGGCGACGGGGTTCCGGGCGAGGCCAGCGGCGGACACACGGGTCGCCTCTGCTCCAGCGCTCTGTAACCATGGCGACCGCGGCCTAACTCGGCACAGGGGGAGGCGGCCGCCCCTCCCGCCCTGCCGCCCGCCCCTCCGGCTCTGCGCCCGCCTGGCACTGGCGGCACTGAGGGTCCCCTGGGCGGGGCCGCCCCTCCGTGCAGACTGAAATAACCACCAGCCCCTCGTTAAGAGCTGAGCTGCGTCCCCCCAAATCCGTGCGTGGAAGTCCCAACTCCCAGCACCGCGAAATGGGGCAGATTTTGGAGACGGGGTCTTGGGAGGGGGATTAGGCTAAAATGAGGTCGCGTGGTGGCCCTAACGCAGGAGGACTAGGGTCGGGGACGAGAAGCGTAGGGGGCGACCGTGGGGGGCAGCCGTCTGCCAGCCAAGGAGAGACGCCAGCCCTGCGGACGCCTCGATCCAGACTTCCAGCCCCTGGGACCTTGAATCCCTGTTAAGTCTCGCGGTCCGGGGCATTTTGTCACGGCACCCTCCTCTCCACCCAAGGGACCGGTGACAAACAGGTGACCCGGCGCTGGCCCGGGAGGGGCAACGTGGTGCCGCCCGCCAGAGACCCGGAGCCCTCGGCCCGGCATCCGAGGCCCACGCACCCTGCACCGCAGAAGGGACGCGCAGACCTGTCCCGAGGCGCCCCGGAACAACAGGCGGTCCGACGTCCCCCGGAGGGGTCGTCACCGAGCCCAGGCCTCGGCGCTCGCTGGGCAAACACGCGGCAGCAAGCTCCAGGATTCGCCGCCATGCGGGCAAAGTGCAAAGGCGAACACGGTATAGACCAGGGGCCACAAACCACGGCCCCCGGCCAGACCCAGCCTCTGTTCTTGTTAATAAAGTTTTATTGGCACACAGCCACACCCGTCCAGCTCGCGGCTCTCCCGCCGTGACCGCGCGGTTGAGCTGTCTCTGCGACAGAGACCGTGCGGCCTGCAGAGCCGACGAGACTTGCTCTCTGCACTCTAGAGAAAGAGCGTGTCGCCACCCGACGTGGGCGTCGCCGCTGTTTGCACAAAGTGGAAACAGCACACGCGTGCATTTGCTTAGAAAAGTCCAGAAGGGCCACGGGGTGCGGCGGCGGGCGACAGCGTGGACACAGGTGGCTGACAGGCCACCAGCTTGGGAGGGACCCGAGCCCCCGGTGCCCCGCAGGGGTGGGAGGTCGAGGCAGGAGCAGGCGAGGGGCCACTGGAGGCCCGTCCCTGGCGGAAGAGCAGAGACGGACTCCGGCCGGGTCGCTGTCAGGGCCCAGCCCTGTGTCCCAGGCGCCGTGCAGGCGCGGGAGGCACCGCCCTCCTCAGTCAGACACGGGCCCATTCCACAGAGCGGGAGACCGAGGCACGGGCTGATGGCAGAGCCAGGACGCTGCAGGACCCGAACCCAGGCCCGCGGGGCCCAGAGCTGAACCCGGCTGTCTGCAAAAGCCCAGAGCGGCCCGAACCCAGGCGGGCCGAGGGGCGGCCGGACCCTGCCCAGGGCAGCTCAGACCCCGCCGCCCTCCCCGGGCCGGAGGCCGGGCAACCTCGCCGGCGGCTCTCATTGGCTGCCGATGACATCGCTGGAGACTAAGCCCGAACCACCGGGCGGCCTCCATGGGTCCCGGACCCAGGGCTGAATCCGCGGTACCCTGCGTGTGCCGTGTGCGCACGCATGTGCGGGTGTCCCTGCGGTTGCCTTCGTTGGGCGCACACGCCCACACCCGCTTCCCCTGGGCACGGGCGTGCGCGAGCGTGTGTGTGTGCACGTGCGTGCCCTCCCGCGTGTGCACCCGCACCCACGCGCGAGAGCACCTCCCGGGCGCCGGCCCTGCAGGTCCCCGAGCAGCGGGGCGCAGGGGGGGCCGGGCGGGGCCGAGCTCCTGATCAAACAACGAGCGACCTGCCGCGCGACCGCCCACCCCTGGGGCTTAATGACAGCCACAGCGCGGGAGGCTCTGCATGGTCGCCATGGCCGGGCGGGGGGATGTCCCCGTGCCAGGGCGGGCAGGGGGGCAGGAGGGCGTCCCCGTGCCTGGGGGGGGTCCGGAGCCCGGGCCTTGGTGGGGAGGACCCGACGACAGAGAGAACAGAGGAAGCCCGGTGGCACGGGGCCCGCTTTCCCGGACTCCCCGAGACGGCAGCCAGTGGCCTCAGCTTATCCTGTCGCAACCGCGGCACTCACAGTGGAGGCTCACAGTGGAGGCTCGCGGGTGCCGTCTGTGCCCGGAAAGGCCAGGCCAGAAATATCTGCTGGGCGGGGGGAGGGGGGTGGGCAGGGGGAGGGGAGGGGCAGGTTCCTCCCCGCCCCACCCCCACCGGGACAGTGTGAAGGGTTAGGGTTAGGGTTAGGGCCCTTGTCAGAGAATTACCGAGACTCCCCAGACGGCCGGGGCAGGACGCGCAGCCAGCACGGGCCTCTCTCAGGGCCTGCGCGACCTCGCAGCCACGTGCTGCCACGCCAGCCCCGCCCCCCGGCTCCCCGGGACTGGGGTTGGGGTGACGTGGCTCTGGGCCGCGGGGACGTGTCCTCCCTGGAGGTCGTCAGGACAGCCCCTCCCCGGGAGCCACAGGCGGGCGCCACCTCCCAGCGAGCGCTGGCCGTGGCTCGTGGCTGCGGCTCGTGGCCGTGGCTCGTGGCCGCAGGCGGCACCTACCCACCCGGGGCCGCGGAAGGGCGGGTGGCGGCCGTCTTACGAAACCAAAGCAACAACAGGGATGAAAAGAATAGAAAGGTCGGATGGACCGAGGGTGGCACGATGCCACTCTCCGCGTCAGTCGGTCACCCATCGGGTCCCCACAATCACCCCTGCGGCGAGGATCACATTACCTGGCTTCAGAGGTGCAAAAACCCAGCTCAGAGAGGTTCATTAAGTTGCCCAAGGCCACTCAGCTACAAAGTGGCGGCCGGGATTTCAACCCAGGCCCCGGTGCTAACACCAAGTTGCCACGGAGAAGGTGGCAGAGAGCGGGGGGCGGGGCGGGCTGGCTGACATTGGATAACGAGAAAGCAATTTCCTGGCGTCCCCAGAACGCCTGGACAAGGCCAGTGGGCCCATGCACGTGCGGGGAAGTGACAGGCAGCCGCTTCTGCCTGCCTGGCATCCACTGGTCCTTCCGCCTTTGGGGAATCACTCCTTACTCAATTACCCATGTGGGTGACACACCACTGCCTCCTGGAAGAGTCTGGACCATCAGCCTATTTGTTCTTCCCCCAGGACACGGGATCCACGCTAACCGGGGGTTCGGGGAATCCTCCCAAAGATAAAGTCAGTACGGAAGAAAACAAAGCCAGGAGGAAGAGAGAGACTGAGCTCTGAGAAAATTAGATGAGCCCCTGGATCCAGCTAAGCCTGAAGGAGGCTCTCTGCACAGAGCTTTAATCGCATGAACCAATTAATTCTCGTTCTTGCTTGAACCAATTTGAGCTGGATCCTCCTTTTGTGATCAGCAGAGCAGGATGAGACGGTAGGTGGATGACCGTCGCCCCTTAACTCCTCTGTCCTGCAAAGTCTCAACAGCCCCTGCCCGTAGGCCCTGGGCCCCGGCCGGGTTACGGGCTGGGGCAAAGAAATCAAAGTCCTCCCCCACCAAAGAAAAAAACAAACTCCACAGCAGGAGGGTTTGGAGCCGTCTTTGCAGATTCCTTTGGCGTGTGTCCCCGAGTCCAGGGTCCTGTCCCGCCCCCGCCCGCCCGGCCGGCCCGGGAGCCCGTACCTCGTAGGACGGTGAGCTTGGCGTGGACCGCGACCTCCCCCACCGCGTTCTGGGCCACACACTCGTACACGTTTTCGTCCCGCGGCGTCCTCAGCGGCTGGATCCTCAGCACGGCGCCCGCACTCTCGTCAAACTCGATGGTCTGCGGGGCGGGGGGGGGGGGGGGTGAGGCCGGGTCCCCCAGGGAGGCCCCGTGCGGGCCGGCCCCAGCGCAGGGCGGAGGCGGCGCACACGCGTGTGCGGGTGGCCAGCAGGGTGAGGCCGGGGCAGAGCCCTGCGCCCGGGCACGTCCGGCAAGCGACGGGAATCGTGGGCGCGTGCGTGTGCGGGTGACGTGCACCCACGCCCGGGGGACAGGCGCGCCGCGGCACGGGAAGGCGCGAGGGACGTGGACACGCGTGGGTCGGATCGCGTGTCGATGTTCAGAGCCGCGAATTTCCTCCCGTGTGCCGCGCGAGCAGCCTCAGAGACCTCAGGGCCCTGCTCGGGGCCACACGGCGCGGAGGTCGTGTGGCAGGGAGGGAGGGAGCTTCCCCGGCCACGGCCGCCACGCCGCCCCCCGCCTGTGCCATCTCCCGGGGCGGAGCCACGACCCCCGTCCTGGGGGCGCCGGCCGGGTCTGCCCTGCCCCCCGAGACTCACCTCGAAGCGCTGAGAGTTGACCTTCTTGCCCTTCTTGTTCCAGGTCACCCGTGGCTTGGGGTCGCCCGTGGCCTGGCACACGAAGGAGGCCACGCCCCCCGACACGCCGATCTGGTCCTTGGGTTCTTTGACAAACCTGGGGGGCTCTGGGGACACAGCAGGAAGACGGGGGCTCTGGTGGGTCCCGGCTCGCGGCCAGGACCCCACGGAGCCACGCACACGGGCCCGTCGGACAGTCCCCGCCAGCCACGGGGGCCACGGGGGCCCAGCAGCAGGGCCGGGGAGAGGTGGCAGGGACAGAAGACACGATGCCAGAGAACCCCTCCCCGCGGCATCCGTGCGCCTCTACGCCTCGCCACCCCAGATTTTATGCGTGGGGAAACTGAGGCACAGAGCAGGCAAGGCACTGGCTTTGCCTGGATACCAACACAGCTGAGGGCGCCCACCACAACCAGGCTGGCCCTGCGCCCACCCGCACCCCGACCTCGATGTGCCCTGGTCATCCGCTCCAACAGTCCCAATCGGGAGACACTGCATCCCCGCACCCCGACACGCCCACAGCATCTACCAAGAATCGCTACCGCGGGCTACTCTGGACCGCGTATCTCTTCAGTGACCTTTGCATGGCCGCAGTGTACCCCGCCCCAGGAAGGGAGCGAGGGACGCAGGCCTGCGACGGATTCGCCAGCTCGCCCAGGAAGCCGTCTGCACCTCCCACAAGGGGCGTGCACAAAGGCGGGGGACTGGCCCCCCCACACGGAGGGACAAGGACGGAGGGACAAGGACGCTTCTTAAGTGAACTGCTAGGGAAGGGACGAGATGTGCTGTTAAGTAGGAAAAAAACAAAGGGGTAGTGAGTGTAGCAAACGCCACTGTCGTCTGATAACAGAAATCAAAGAGGCCGCGAACGTCCCTACCTCTCTTAGACCGAGAACTCAACAGACGTTATTTTTAGAAATACGATTATTTAAATTTAAAAAGCTGATTAAAAAAAAAAAAGTGAGTCAAACAAATTTTTTTAAAGGAAGTAAGAGTTTGGGGTCTGAGGCCAGGCAGAGGCTGAACGACTCGAACTTGAGCGACGCTGGGTGTTCTGAGCCGCTGGGACCGGCTAGAAACCGGCAGAGTGACCGCAGGGGCCACGGGAATTCACCCAGAAAGTTCTGACTGTTGGCAAGGGCAGAGAAGGGCCGGGTGTGGTGGCTCACGCCTGTAATCCTAGCACTCTGGGAGGCCGAGGGGGGAGGATTGCTCGAGGTCAGGAGTTCGAAACCAGCCTGAGCAAGAGCGAGACCCCATCTCTACTATAAATAGAAAGAAATTAATTGGCCAACTTATATAGAAAAAAATTAGCCGGGCATGGTGGCGCATGCCTGTAGTCCCAGCTACTCGGGAGGCTGAGGCAGGAGGATCTCTTGAGCCCAGGAGTTTGAGGTTGCTGTGAGCTAGGCTGACGCCACGGCACTCACTCTAGCCTGGGCAACAAAGCCAGACTCTGTCTCAAAAAAATAAAATAAACAGAAAAGCAGAGAAGCTCAGGCTCCAAGTCCGGGTTTTGAACAAAACAAAGTCCCCGCGCCGGTGGCGAGCTCTGCCTCACCTCCCGCATTCAAGGCTCTGCTCCTGTTGATACGACCACGCGCGGCTGCACCGGCCACCTCGCTCGCAAACTGGCACGCGCGGCCTCACTCGATTCTCGCGGGCCCCTCAGACTCAGGGACGCCGGCGGGCTCACAGGGGTCACACGGCCCAGAAGCGACAGCAGCAGGGTTTGAACCCGGGGCTCTGTCCGCTCCCGCCATGCCCGGGTCTGGAGCCTGACTCGGGGCAGACGTCTTGCTCCGTGCCGCGCCGGGCCTGCCTCCCTGGCCCGCCTGCCTGGGCCGCCCTCCTTCTGGCCTGGGGAATGGTGACCCAGGGCCACGCCTGTCCTCGGGCCAAGGACACGGAGAACGGCGACCGTGGCCGGGTCAGGAACCCTATTTCTGGTAAAGCCCTCCCTCGGGAGCCGCCGGGAGGGAGCTGGCTGAGGGCCAGAGCACGCCCGCCCTCCAACCCAGCACAGGGCGGCTCGGCCTGGTCTCTGGTCTCGCTGTCCCTTCCCCTTCCTCCCCCACCGGCAGGCACCTCCCCCGGGGAGCCTTCTCGGATTATGGCAGGCAGGCGGGGTCGGAGGGACGTGGCACTTGGCAGGACGGGTACAGGCCGGCCCTCGTTCACTGGGACCCTCCCCTTCCCGTGCCTGGCGGCCCTCGAGGCAACGCACCACCTTGCCACCCTTGTTCCTGGGCCTGGGGGGCCACGCCGTCCCCAAAGCTCCCCTGCCCTGAAGATGCCACCTCCGTCCCGTCCCCTCTGGCGGCTGAGATCCGAGCCGGCCCGGAAGAGCTTCCCCTGGCCCGGAGAGCGGCTCAGCACCGTCCTCACGCCTGTGCCACAGGGAAGCAGAACCAAGGCTCAGAGAGGCTGAGCGACCTGCCCTGGGTCACACAGCCTGCGACAGGCTGAGCCAGGAGTGCCGCTGGGGCCCAGCCGCCCCGGGATGCCGGGAACGACGCAGGCCGCACAGACGGGGCCTCGGGCTCTGTCGCCCACAGGTACCGGGGTGCCCCTGTTTGTCGGGTGAAGAGACGGCAGCTCAGAGTGGTGGCGCCAACGTCCAGGAAGCCGGGACGAGAACCCAGATCCCCCTGGAGGCCGGGGCCCGAGTCCGCCCGCTCCGGGGCCTGGCTCAGCCTCATTTCTGTTTTTCCGTTTCAGACACAAAAGAATCTGGTGCCAGAGCCGGTGACCCCCCCCACGCCTCCCCATCCCCTCCGGCCCCGCCCGGGCCGGCGCCCGCGCAGCCGGGCCGGTCTGGGGCAGGTGCCGGCCAGAGCATTGGCGGCCACGGTGGCCGCCCCCCGAGGACCCAGGCCGCCCTGCAGCCACCGGCGCCAACCTCAGTGTCCGCAGCCCGGCCAGGCCGCAGGTGACGGGGCACCTGCTGAGCAGGCTGGTGGCCGAGATGCCCAGCCTCGGAGGCCGGAGAGCTGGCTGTGTGCCAAGGTCACTACCGACGCCGGCAGCAAAGTCACTGCACAGCCCACCGAGTCAGGGCCAGTCTCTGCCCTGCCTACAGCCCTCCATGGCTCCCACCTTCCACTGGGTCAAAGCCCAAGTCCTCCCCTGTCCCCTGCCCGCCCTCCCCTCCTCCCTCTCTCCCCCTCCTCCCCCTGCTCCAGCCACACGGGCCTCCCGGCTGTGCCTCCAACAAGCCTGGCGTGTCCTGCCCCAGGGCCTTTGCACGGGCCGTGCCCTCTGCTTGGGACACCCTTCCTGCAGACACTCACGAATCCCTCTGTCTCTGCTGCCGCCTCCTCGCTGCAGCCCCTCCCCCACACCTGCACCTCCCTGCCCCCGCCGCAGCGCCGGCCCGTGAGGGGGTGGGATGTTGCACCCGGCGCCCAGTAGGTGCTTATCAAAATCTCACGGAACGGCTCCACGAGGGCCAAGACCCGCCAGGATTTGAAGTCAGGCCGGGCGTGTCTCCCAATTCCGTGACCTCAGTTTGCAGCCTCAGTTTCCCCACCTATAATGGGGCCGCTCCCAGCTCCTGGGATGACAGACGCACACGCTGCCCGAGGCGGGGCACGATCACCGGGCACGGCGCTGAAGTGGGGACGTCTGTCACTCATCCGGTCCACGTGGTTAACCGCGTGGTCCTCGCCGGGGCGAGACAGCTGTCGTAGTTTGGAGCGTAGTGGCGTCCGGGTTAGGGGACTAGGGGCATCGAGAGTGGGCAGGCATGAGAAGGTTGCCGCTGGCAGCACCGCAGGGCACGGGCCGGCCGGCACGCAGAGCGACCGGCTCAGGACAGGCCACGGTGCCGGTGGAGGGTGACCATACGAATGAAATCAAGCGAAATGAGCTCAGTCCCGAAGGCCGGCCTCCCCGCCGCAGGGGCAGGGGGGCAGTGGGCATGGGGCGGAGCGGGCGCAGGACAGGGGGCAGGGGGCAGGGGGCAGGGGCAGGGGCCAGGGGGCAGGAAGGCACAGGCCCTGTGGTCAGCCGGGCAGATCACGGCCCGGGCACGCCCGGCCGCTGGGCCAAAGGCGGGAGGGTGGGCCGCCGGGCTCTGGCACGAGGCAGCCTGGGTTCAAATCTCAGCATGGCCTCTTACTGGCTGTGACTTAGCCTTGCTGTGCCTCAGTTTCCCCAGCTGTGCGATGGGGACTACAATGATAGCATCGACCTCACCAGATTGTGGTGGCTGATCTGAACGCGTAAGGCACAAAAATAACACGGAAACAAGAAAAAGCACAAATGGACAAGGCAGGGGTGCGTGCCGCAGTGGCCTCACTCGCGGCAACGCGGGCTCTCGGGGACGTGGGTATGTCACGCCCTGTCACAGCAGGTGGAAGAGCTCGTGTCGCTAGCCCGAGATCGCACAGCCACTAGCTGAGGTCACACAGCGCGTCTGCGGTGATGCCAGGGCCCAAACCCAGCCTGACGGGGACCCCGCCTCTTCCGCGACTGCCCGGCGCCCACGTCCCCACGGCCCGAGCGGCGCCTCCTCTAAGCCCCTCGCGGTGGGTGGTCTGGACACTGGGCCCCACTGGCTCTCACCCTCCACGTCAGTCAGAGACCAGCCTCGCCACCTCGGGACTACGCCGGCTCTTTCAGCTCCGGCCTTTTCCGTGGGGTGCTGCCACCCCGGCGGGAACGGCTTTTCCATCAGCAAACTCCTGCCCACCCGCAAAACCCACCGGTGCGCGGGGTTTCGTGGGGCTCGGGGACACGGAGCGGGCAGGGTCTGTGCTCAGAGCCCGGCGCAGTCGCTGCCGGGAAAGCCGACGTCACCGTCCTCGTTACTGTCACTGCTCTACCAGTGGTGCCGTGGCTGTGTCACCGGTCTGGGTCTCCGGCCGGCGCACAGAGGTGCTCGCCGCGGCCGGTCACGGGCACAGAATGGCCGCCTGGCAGGACGAGGAGCCCAGGGAGGGGACGCACGCACCCACCCGCACGCCACTTACCTTCTCCCGAGCAGCCTCCGGCCAGCAGGACCACGAGGAGCCCCACGGACGCCAGGCCGCGGCCCCAGGCGGGCGCCATGCTCCGCGGCGACCTCCGACCTCCGCCCCGGAGGGGGCCGGCCTCCCGCGTCCCTCAGCGGCGGGCGTGGAGCCGGGCGTCAGACTGGCCGGCGTCTGCGGAGACAAGGGGCAGCCATGAGCGGACAGCCGGGAAACCCGGGCGGCCTCCACGGAGGCGGCGGCGCGGAGACCGGGGAGGGCTGCGGGCGGGTGCGGCCCGGGACGCCGGGGAGGTGTCAGGGGTAACGCGAGCCCCTGCCAGGGAAGGGACGCCGCGTCCACCCCGACACCCGCCTGTGGGAACTCGGTCCCCGCGTGGCGCGAGGGGCGGTGGCGGGAGGCACAGGTGCACGAGGTGACCAGGTCGCGAAGGCCGGCCGAGAGCGGGTCCCTGTCCCTGGTAAAGGCGCCCGGCCGCTCCCTCGCCCTCCTGACACCTGGGGACACGCACTGCAGACGGCCCGGCTCCCACCGCGCCCCGCACGGGACCTCGGACGCCCCCCAACCGCGGGCGCGCTCCTGTCGCTCGGCACGCCTGTGGCGCTTGGCTGTCTCGGCCCACACGGGCCAAGCAGCTGCCGACTCAGCTGAGCCTCGGTCCTGGGGGTGCCGGGACCCCGTCCCCAGCCTGACTCGGCCGAGACCCGAGCCCGGGTGAGCGCTTCCGGGAGCTCTGCACCCCCACTTCTCAGGGAGCCCTGGCCGCTGCTTGGCCCTCCGGTCTGGCCCCTCCGGGTCAGTGGACGGCTCCTTCCCACCCTGCCCGGCCGCCCTGCTCCAACTCCTCCCATGGCTCCCGCAGCCCAGGGCCCGCCCAGCCCCCGCCTCGCCTCACCGCGGCCCGCGTGGTCCCTCCTCCTCCCTCCGCAGGGACACGGGCCGCACACGACAGGACACGCGGTGGCTGAGCTGCGTCCTCAGGTCGCCTCTCTGCCCCTGAAGGTCAAGGCCCCGCCCCACCCCCACCTGGCACCCCGGGCGCGGGGGTGACTGAGACTGCGTGCAGGCGCCTACCCCGGGCACCGGGCGCTCAGCACCTGTTTCTCCCACGGGAACCTCAACCCTCCCGGGGTGCAAGGTCCCCCATCATTCCCACCGCTCGCCCCCTGGACCTGCCCTCCCCGTCTGTCTCCCGACCTCCTCCCTGGCCCAGCTGCCACCGAGGCCGGGGAGGGGCGGGAGGGAAGGGCTCTGGCCGGGCTGCGGCCGCAGGACGGAGCCGCGATCTGCGGGCGGGCCCTGTGATTCTGGTTCCCAAAATACCAGCTGTGGTCGCCTCGCCGGCCCTGGGGCGGCCTCAGGGGAAGGCAGGGCCGGCGGGGCCGGGTTACACCCGAGGGAGAGGCTCCACCTGCACACAGTGGGTCCACGCCCGGAGGACGCCGCCTGCCACCAGGCCGCCGGCACACAGTCAGGCCACACACGCACGGGCCACACGACACGCACAGACACGCGAAGTCACATTCCCTTCCTGCTCATGCGCGCGCAGCCAGGCCGCAGGGACGGGCACACGCACAGTCAGACCACAGACACACCCCGGCCGCGGGCAGCGGGGACTTGGCAGACGGAGCCTGGAGCAGAGCCACCCCTCCCCCGGCGCCCTGGCCTGGCCCTTTAAGACCAAAAGTGGCCGAGGAGGAGGGCGGTGACCAGAGGAGAAACAGCTGGGCTGGGGCCAGGGTGACCGCAGGGCCGCCCCACCTGCAGATGCACGTCCGCCCGGCTGCGTGGGCTGGGGGGTCAGGCCCGGACCACTCGGGTCAGCTGCGCGAGCCCTCTGAGAGCGCCGGGGGAAACTGAGGCAGCACGGCCAGCCTGCAGCCCAGAGGGCGGGGGTGGAAGTCACCTGCACAGAGGTCCTGGGAGAGGGGCTGTGGTGCCACCAACAGGGAAGGCAAAACGCTCCCCTGGAGGGGCCGAGGGGCAGGCAGGACCCCGCCAGTCCATCCCCCCCACCCCCGCCTCCCACCCCCAGACGGCCAGGTGGGGACTCGGCCTGGCGGGGACTCGTTTGAGGGCTCAGGGAGGGTCCGCAGGTCCCACCTGCTCCGCCTCAGAGCCCGCCCCACCTGCCCTAGCCCGTCTCCGCCCGGCCTCCGACGCGCAGCCCGTCCCACCCACGCAAGCCAGAAAGCACCTGTGGGCCCCTCAGTCAGGGCCCGTCCCCCCTCTGCCCACAGCCCTCCATGGCTCCCACCTCCCTCCACATCAAGGCCCAAGTCCTCCCTGTGGCCCACCGGGCCCTGCACGACCTGCCCATCCCCTCCCCGCCCTCCCCTCCTCCCTCTGCTCCAGCCACACGGGCCTCCTCGCTGTGCCTCCAACACGCCAGGCTCGGTCCTGCCCCAGGGCCTTTGCACGGGCTGCTCTTGAATTTAATGTTATAATTACTAATGGGCTGAGGACTCAGGGCGAGTGTGAAGGGGGGGTGGAGGTGTCTCTGCACAGGAAGGTTCCAGAGGTGCCAGGAGGGGGATGGTAGAGATGAGGGCGGAGGGACGTGTACGAATGTGACCCATGGGGCAGCAAGGGACATTGTCACGTTGGCACTGACCTCCCACCAAGCCCCTCTGGCAACAAAGCGGCCCGGGCCACCAGCCCTGCCACCGTCAACACGGGGAAAGGAGGCGGGTGCAGCAAGCCGCAAGCTCCCGGGAGGTGGCGTGGCCATTAGCAGGAACGGCTGCCCCGGAAGGCAGTGGCCGCTGGACCTGGGGCCCAGGGAGGGTCCCCACCCGCCCGCCTGGCTGTCACACGCCCAGCTGCCCACCACTTGCTCGCAGCAACTGTCCGCCTTGCACAGACCGGGAAACTGAGGCTCGCAGAGGAGCCGGTTCCCCCACCATGTGGTGTGTCTTTCTGCAGCTGCTGTGTGATGTCAGGAAAGTAGACGACCCTCTCTGGGCCCGGTGCGGCCTGCAGAGCCGCCATGAGGGGCTCCCATGCCGTGCTGGCTGGGGGCGGGTGGGCGCTCATTCCAGCCAGGCGCCGGGCCGAGGGTCACGCGATCCCGGAGCCGGCTCTGTGTGCCCACGCGGCCCAGGGAACATAAAGGGGTGATTGTGGCCCAGGCCGGACGGCCGGCAGGCTGTGTCACCCGCACGAGGCGGGTCTCGGCGGCAGCGGGGGTGCCTCTCCCAGCCCGTGCCCGGCGCGGGGTCTGCCTACCCTGTCCCGGGGGCCCTGGGGGCTCATCTGCCCGGTGCTGACTCCCAGGGGACCCCGCGGCCCGAGGGCAGGAGAGGCTAAGAGAGGCACAGGGGAAAGACCCTAGCCGCGCACGACCTCCCCCTCGACCGCCCGCGACCCACTTCCCGGCCCTCGGAGCCCCTCCAGGCCAGCCCCGGGCCCCTGGGCCACTCACGTGTCCAGCCAGGCGGACGGCAGGCGACCCCTGAGGCAGTGGGCCCCAGGTCCCGGCTCCAGCTCTGTGGCCGCCGGCGGACTCGGGTGGCTCTGGCCACAGCCCTGTCCCTCTGGAGGCCTCAGCGTCCCTCCCAGGAAACAGCTCAGGGCGGAGCCGGGCGGGGTGGCCGCCACCCTCCCAGCACCAGGCCAGGCCGAGGGCTCGGCCCTCACTGACCATGGAGTGGTGTCGGGGGGACATGCAGGCTCAGGGCGCCGTCCCCAAGGCCCTCGAGGCCCAGTGTGGCGGGTGGGCCGTGGGAGGGGACCCCTTAGGGAGCTCGGGGTCCCGCCCAAGCTCCGTCCCTCCTGTGTCCAGCAGGGGAGGAAGGGCCTCAGGGGCAGCTCCGGGGGCCAGCGTGGAGGAGGGGCCGGGACTGCGCCCAGAGGCCCCGAGCTCGCCCTGCCAGCGCGTCCCCCAGGCCAGCTTCAGGGGACAGCCTGAGACGTGGACACGGGGTGCGCCCTGCTCCGCTCCCACACCCGCTGGGGCTCCCAGCTGCCCCGCTTGGCATCTGGGCCCTTCGCAATGCGCACAATGCCACCCTGCGCCACCCTTCCCACAAAGCACTGCTGCTCTCAGAATGCACAGCCTCAGGCCCCTGAGCCTTTCTCACGCGGGCCCCAGCAGGTACACCTTTCCCGGCTGGCCCACCTGTCACTCATCCTTCAACCCACAGCCACACGGTCCCCGGCTGAGCCTGCGTCCCTGTGGATTCCTGCCCCACCGACCCTTCCTTGGTCCGGCCCTGCTTCTCTCCTCTGCTCCAAAACCCTCCATGGCTCCCACCGAAGTCCACTAAAACCCAGACTCCTAAATTCAGACTCCGGAGCTGCCAACCTGGGCCCCGCCGATCCCGTCAAGCCCGGGCACACACGCGGCACCACACTCCTGTCCTCCCTTGGGCCCTGCCTGCAGCCTTCTGGCTCCCACGGGGGCCTCTGCACACACTGTTCCTCCCACCCAGCACACCCTTCCTTGTTCCCCCACCAAACCTCAGCCCTCATGCTCATCCTCGGGTCTCGGCTGAGCCGCTGTCTCCTCCAGGAAGCCCTCCTGGGTGCCCTGGGCTGGATCAAGACCCCCTCTGGCCGCCCCTGTCGCAGCTCTGCTCCCACTAACCCTTCGGCCCTGGGCGGAAGCCTCCCTCCCACCCCAGCGTGCACTGGCACCTACTGCATGCCTGGCCCCAACTGGCACTTTGTCCACATCACTCCTGTGGTCCCCTCCACCTCAGAGGGAAACTGAGGCCACAGAGGGAGACCACCACAGGTGGGGGAGGCCTACTGGGGGGGGCAGCCTGGCAGCCGGCAGGAAGCCCTTCAGGGGTCCCCAAACTCCATAAACCGGGGACTCTGGGCGGCACAGGCTGGGAGCCGGGAGCGCGGACGGGGACGGGAGCAGGCATGGGGACGAAAGGGTGAGAGCTGCGGCCCCTGGCAGGAGGGAGCACCCCGGCCCCTGGGGGTCCCCACGTCCCGGCTCACGGAAGCTCCGGCACGCACAGCACCGACCGGGGGTCTGCAGCCCGAGGGAGATCACCGATGGGGGCGCGAGGCGACGGGCTACCGCAGCCAATCGGAGCGCGCGCCGCTGCGGGTGCGGTTGAAAACTCCACGGGAGAGGCCGGACGCGCCGGGCCCAGGGCCTGGGGGGCCAGGCGGGCCGGGCCTGCTCCCCCACCCGCCCCCGTCGCTGGC